AAGATTTCGGGCAGAGACGTACTTAGCCCTTGTCGTCAACTGGAGAGTGAGTACTTTTTCCTTTATTTTTTTTTTACTTGGTCGCCCTCGTTTCACTACACATTTGTCATTTCAAGGGTAGTTGTTTCTGAAAAGGAAAACCCCAACTTTGCGGACACCCTGTATATTGAAGATGACTGCCAATGAGCATTTCACATTTTCAGAATGAGTAAATGAGTAACTAATTTTGTTAAGATCTGGAACTGACCAAAAACAGATTTTATGGTTTTGCACTCTGCTTGTTTTAATACTTTGTTATTAACGTTAATTATCAAGGTAAATAGTGTATTGTCAGATTGTTAGCGATTTTCTTGTTGAAAAAATTAATCTGCGAGTGTCCTCTGGCTATAAAAAGGGGGATAGGTCCATTCTCCTAGCATTACAATGCCTTGATGAAAAAATAATAAACCATTTTTATCCCCATTTTTGGCAAATAAACCTTCAAAAAACGAGCAGGGAGAGCCCCATGCGTTACAAATGACGTGTTCTCTACGCTTTACCTCGAGCTGTGTCTAGTTTTAACCCCGGTATCTACCAGCACCACCTTAAATTCTTTGAACGCCTGTTACTACTGCGTCTTTTCACAATTTCCAGATGACAAAATCTAAAATTGCAATAATAGGCTGCGGTGCAATCGGTATTACCACCGCTTTGAAGATACAGGAAAGATTGAAGAGCAAAGTGGACGTGACGATTTTCTCGAAGGATTTCAGTCCTAACTTGACCAGTGACGTAGCAGCTGGATTGTGGGAGCCGTATTTGTTGGAGTTGACACCCGAAGAAAAAACGACTCGTTGGGCCGGCGAGACGTATCAATACCTCATTGCAAATTGGAATCAAGGTAGCACCAGTTCTACAATTTGACTCAAAGTTAGGACTGATTATGCGGTTACACATTACGTCGGCACTAAACGGATCAAGTCAGTCAAATAGGCCCATACAATTAATATGTATATTCGTAGCTAGCTGTTTATTAAAATTCAGTAGGTTGCAATAGCAAGAATACGACAGTTCTATTTTCATTCTAGCTGAAAAGTTGGGAATAACGCTTCAACCGGTAACGTACATTACTGACACAAGTACTTTTACTACCCCAAGCTGGCTGAAAATAACTCTAGGTTATACAGAGCTCCCGCGGCAGCAGATAGAACAATTTAGCAAAAGGTACAATCAGAAACTCACTGGAGGGTTTCACTTCGTAAGCTTTACATGGGAAGCATCCAGGTTCATTCCTTATTTTTCTGAATTGTTCATCGACGGAGGAGGTACCATTGTGAGAAGAGATATTCAGGATTTGTGGGAGCTCTCGGAATATGACGTAGTAGTGAACTGTACCGGACTGGCATCTAAGGATCTCGTTTGTGAGTATGTAATGGATCATTTGAGTGAGCAATACAGTGTCCGGAAAGGTCCGGAATCCCACGATAATTGGTATGAAAGATTGATAAGAGTTTTCCACAGTTGTCTAATGGTGACCTTGGATTTGACGTTGACCGCCTTCAAGGTCATTTGAAAGTCAAATAGATTTATTTTGTAACCCACTATTTTTGACCCCGTAACTGAAAAGAGCGAAAAATTTAACGCTCAAATATGGTGGTAACCATTTTTGAATTTTGACCTTTGGAGGTCATGGTCAAGGTTAAACCGAGGTACGGTGATATAACTTGAAAATCGGTAGTCGTGCAGGAAAGCTGTCGAGGCCTTATTTTCGTGATGAAAAGGTGGCCTTGAATCTGACCTTAACAATGATGCCCTCCAGGGTCGTGTGGAGGTCAAGTTGATTTTTGTAGCCAGAGAACAATCCGGAAAGAACAGCGAAGACAGTTTTTCTGGGGATTACCCTGTTTTCTGATTTATCAAGAAATTAAGGTAAACTTGTGTTTGACCTTGACGGTCAAGTCAAATGGTCAGGGACATAATAGAAGATGAAATTTTTCCTTTTCTATATTTCCAGGGTCAAAAGAATAGGGTCCCGTTAAAAAACGAGTTGACCTTTAAATGACATTGTCGTCATGGGCATGGTCAGATCCTTGGATACATGTACAATAATAATACTATAAAAGATTGATAGAGGTCTTCCCCAGCTATTTAATGATGACTTAGGATCTGACGTTACCTTCAAGGTCATTTGAAGCTCAAGTCGCTTTTTTTAAATTAAACACCTCACTTTTGACTCCGTAAATGAAAAGAGCGGAAAATTTCACGTTCACATATGCTCTTGGCCATTCTTAAAGCTTGACCTTAGGAGGTCAAGGTCAAACCCAGGTACGGTGATATAGCTTAAAAACCGGTAGTATATAAAACTTTATTTTCATGATCAAATGGTGACCTTGGATCTAACCTTAACAATGATGACCTCCAAGGTCATGTGAATGTCAAGTCGATTTTTGTAGTCAGGGAACAATCCTAAAAGAACAGCGAAGTCAGTTTTTCTGGGGATTATCCTGTTTTCCGATTTATCAAGAAATGAAGGTAAACCTATATTTTGACCTTGACGGTCAAGTCCAAGGTATACTTCGAAAAATAGTCAGGGGCATAATAGAAGGTAAAATTTTTCCTTTTCTATATTTTCGCGGTCAAAAGAATAGGGTCCCATTAAAAAAGGAGTTGACCTTTGAATGACATTGTGGTCATGGCCATAGTCAGATCCTTGGATACATGTACAATAATAATGGTATGAAAGATTGATAGAAGTCTTCCCCAGCTATTTAATGATGACGTTGACCATTACCTTCAATGTCATTTGAAGCTCAAAAGTCGCTTTTTAAATAAAACACCTTACTTTTGACCCTGTGAATTAAGAGAGCGGAAAATTTCACGTTCAAATATGCTCTTGGCCATTCTTAAACTTTGACCTTAGGAGGTCATGGTCAAGGTCAAACCCAAGTACGGTGATATAGTTTAAAAACCAGTAGTATATAAGATTATGATCAAGGATCTAACCTTTACAATGATGACCTCCAAGTTCATGTAAAGGTCAAATTGATTTTTGTAGCCAGAGAACAATCCTAAAAGAACAGCGAAGTCAGTTTTTCTGGGGATTACCCTGTTTTCTGATTTATCAAGAAATCAAGGTAAACTTGTGTTTGACCTTGACGGTCAAGCCCAAGGTCTAGCTCCAAAAAAGACATATTAGAACATAAAATTTCTCCATTTTTGCGGTCAAAAACATAAGGTCTCATTAAAAAGGAGTACACCTTCAAATGACCTTGCAGGTCATGGCCAACATCGCCATTGGATACAAGTGCAATCATGCGTTTATAACCGAACATAAGGTATCTCAAAACAAGCGAACATAACCTAAGCGGTATGGGAAATGCTCACATCCTTAGGTTAAGTTATATTAAGCCATACTATATTGAGTTAGATTATAATAAATTAAGTTCGGTTCATTTAAGTGCCTTTATGAACACGACAAGATATTATGGCCAATAAAACATAAACTGAACACATATTTCCTAACTTCCATACTTATGTTGGGTACGGTGTGTATATGTCTGTTCTTTGTGACGAAACCTGGCATTCCGTTTTATATAATTTATTTTTTAGGTGACAATGAGATGAAACCAGTCCGAGGACAGGTAATGAAGGTCAAAGCTCCATGGCAAAACGGCATTTACATCATAGATTGCCACAATAGATGCAGCTATATCATACCAAATATAGAGCTTACAACTCTTGGCGGAACTAAACAAATCGATTACAATACGAATATCAGTAACACTGATCGCCAACACATTCAGAGGTAAGATACTAAGGGCCGTGTCCTTGATTTTCGTAGTCTGTTCTCTCCTTCAGAAAGGCTGCGGTATTTCTAGGTTTGTGCTGTTCCGTGACAGCGTCAGCGCTCTCCTATTGAGAGGTTATGTTTTCTTTTTGTATCTTAAGTAATTTTGGGCTGATAAAACAGATGATAAAATTCAATTTTTATCAGCCTGAAATTTCTTAGAATTCACAAAGGCAACATAACCTCAAAATAGAGCGCTGACACGGAACAGTAGAAATCCAGAAGAAATAGCCCTGCCTTTCTGAAGGATAGGAAAAACTATGGAAATCAAGGAGGCTATAAAAGCGTCCTTACAATTGTTGACGATACGACCCTAGACACACTAGACATTCAACATAGTTTGTTGAATATTGAGGAAGTGTGCCACCAGCAAACTCATATATCTTGCAGAGGTCCCATAAGAGTATAACTTTGTATACAATCTGGGAAGTACAGGATGTCCCATGGAGGGTGATAGAGGGCAATTTCCAATATGAAAAACTATTCGTCTCTGGAACATGTATGAGTTTGTTAGTGTCACAATTTTTCGATTGGGTCTTGCGAATTTTTTGTTTTTGTTTTGAGCAGTCCCCTGATTTTTCGCAAAGCTATACCGTAAACATGTACTACTATGGGACATCTACAACATATTTGAATTTGTTGGTGGCACAGTTGTTTGTTTGGGTTATGCTGCTTATCATTACATTTAGCAGTCTTTCATACTCGAGAAAAATACAGCACGAACATGTATAACAGAGGAATTAAACGGATCAAGTCAGTCAAATAGGCCGAAACATTGTGTGTTACATGGAAAGTAGACGTCAATTACGTAATGTAAAATTGTTGTGTGCAATATTACGGTACTACTATGACGCTTGTTATTCTTTTACAGCACGTGCCAGACGATAATACCATCACTGAAGACTGCAGAAATACTTAAAGAGGTCGTTGGATTGAGACCTTCCAGGACTAGGGTACGAGTTGAGGCGGAGACACTTCAAAGGCAAGATAAATTTTTGAGAGTTGTGCACAACTACGGACATGGTGGTGCTGGAATCACGCTGTCTATTGGATGTGCCAATGAAGCAGCCGACTTAGTCGAAATGTTATTAGCTCGCAGTAAAATGTAAAAACAGATATATTTGAAAAAACTGTAATATACACGGTGTTAAATTTAATTTATTCTAAAAAAGAGTTACGAATGAAAATTGTAGTATTTTATTGAAAATAATAACAATACATCTGAAAACATGGTATCAACATAACAAAAAAGGCAATATATCAGTTTTTCTTAAAACTTTTCAGAATTGGATAAATATTATCTAAAGCTTCTTTCAGTTCTTGTCGTGATTTACCTCCAGTAAACACAATTTTTCCATTCACAAAAATCAATAATGCCATTCTGGGTTTCAGCATTCTATACACCAAACCAGGAAACAATTCAGGCTCATAACTGAAAGAAACATTGAGTCAAATTAATAACACTTCCATACAATGTGATATAGCTGACAAAAAAAATGCTAACAATATTATTCATACCTGCTAAATTGTCCGTGCATCATGTTTAAATTTTCTAATTTTATAGGAAATCGTAAATCACACGTTGAAACCAGATTTTGTATTTTAAAATTTGCAAACTGCACCTGAAAAATATGCAGTTTACGTTTATTATATTGCGACCAAGAATATATGGAGCAAAATACAACTGGTAACTTGGAAAACTGGGGGGAAAATTCAGCTGACATTGGCTTAACATTGTCACATCAAACAAGAGTTAATATGCTGTGTTTCCAATACAGAAGGCTACCATAGCTTAACAGCATAACAATGAGCTATGAAAGTCTCCTGTCAGTGTCGAAGACGATAATTTCGGCATCTAAATTCTCCTAGCATAACGTTAAAAGGTGTTTTGGGGCCGTATCGTCAGTCGTTTTCAGGGTGTTCTTGATTTTCATAGTTTTTTCTGTCCTTCAGAAAGGCAAGGGTATTTCTAGGTTTCTACTGTTCCGAGTCAGCGCTCTCCTATTGTGAGGTTATGTTTCCTTTTTGAAATGTAGGAAATATCAGGCTGATGGTGAAAATCAAAAGCACGAACAGTTTTATGCAAATAGATACTTGTAATATAACCTCAAAATATAGCGCTGGCACGGAACAGCAGATAAAGAAATACCCCTGCCTTTCTGAGTCAGGAAAATTTGTGAAAATCAAGGAGGCCATAAAGGCGAGGAACGACTGACGATAAAAAATTAGAAAAAATTAATATTCCGATATGGTCAACAATATGGCTCAATAATTTTTTTTAAATCGACTCAGTCCTATTACTTTCCGGACGAACCCTGTATATCAATGTGTACAATAAATGGTAAAAATATTTAATTATGCTAGGCATTCCTTCCGGCTAATAGATTCTCCATCATTTACATTTTCAATATAAATACTGCTAAAAACACCAGGCACGCACACACCACATTCTCCAACGAAATGGCAGCCATTTTTGACACTAACAGTACAATTTCATAGCTAATTAAATACTATATTAACACCTCTTTTTAAGGTTACCAGTTGTAATGTGTTTTTTGATCCATAAAGAAGTACGATACTTCAACCCTGAGCCATTGCACAGGACTAGTAAAATATAGTAATTCAGCCATTGAAAATTAACAGACAAACGTATTGAAACTATGACACAAAGTTTTCAAATAATACCGTACTTACATTGAAACCTAGCCTTTGTATGATTTTTGCAAACTTTTTCGCCGCTAAAAGGGCGTCAGGTTCGTTTCTCGAACCCGTGCACACTATTTTGCCCGATTGAAAAACCAGTGCAGTCGTTCTGGGTTCCCTCAGCCTCATTACGACTCCATGAAATCTGGAGGGGTTATATTCAGAGTTTCTTGTCCTTGCATTTATTATGCTCAAGTTTAGTTTCGTGTGCAAGTCTACTGTTGCAACACAGTTGCTGTAAAGAGAATAATTTTCTTTAACCGAAGAGGATGTATACCAAGAGAGGAATAACGGTTCAGGGCAAATAAAGTTATGTTTTGATACGAGGGATGTCTTTTAAGTTTTGCATATAGAAACATAGTAGGCCGCGCGGATCGAACGTCAGTACTGAATCTTAACCTCACTCTTTAGTAAACTTAAATTCAAAGTTTCACAACAATGCGTGAATTTTTAAGTGTCACTAAGTCATTAGAAAAATGGAACTCAACCGAGAAGATTTTCGCACCATAAAAAGCTTGTAACGCGTTTTTATTTGAAAACTTGAGATGAAGCAGCTTCATTATTGCTTTAATATTTCCAATCAAAAAATTATTTTTAAATTACTTGTTCATTTTATGAACAGCTAAATAAAAGCTTGATTTACAAATTGTGTTTTTTATATTATTTATTTTCAGCTAAATTAACATATTTTGATGTTATGCATGAAAAATGATATAAAACCACCTCTAGAAACAGTAGTCTTTAGAGTCCTTTATTTTTCTATCTAACTACCTACTTTTTTATACAATACAGTTCTCCAAAATCAGAAGTTATGTTATGCAGATATAATATAAATGTGAAAGAATAAACAGAAAGTGAGTTTTAAAAACTACTAGACCAGAAAGGATGCGATTCTTGTATGTGAATATAATTTGTCAAAACTTACTGAACTGTTATTGTAGTGTGTTCTCCAGCTGAACCGGGGGTAGGAACGGTCAAGTTTGAGGTGGAATGGGGCTCTCTTACAAATGGAACCTGGAAAAAGAGTATCGAGTACCAATTCATATTAATATACTGTGTTCCATGCTAGAATTCAACTTACTGTGGGCTGTACATTGGGCGCCAAACTCCAATCTGGAACAGGCACAGCTGGTGTGAAACGAGCAGGGCTATTTAGCATAGCCTTTAAATGCTGATCAGTCTGTCTGTTTTCCATGTCTTGATGTTCATAGAATTACCACAGGGGTCGGGTCCAAGAAGGCATCAGCCTTTTTATACAGCCCAATAGCCTCAACAGCCGGTGGTTGCTAGACACCACAAACAAAAATCTGAGCGTCAACGTCAAGGTTAGGTTAAGTCCTAACCTCACATCACAAAACACATAAAACTGACGTCACATCACAAAACACATAAAACTGACTTCACATCACAAAACACATAAAACTGACATCACATCACAAAACACATAAAACCGTAGCGTAGCATAACGTCATAGACTGCAGCGTTGCCGAATGCGTCAGACATTTCCCCAGAACTGCTATTTTTTATAAGAATTCCCCACATCACGTGCCATTATTGGGAAGAGAAGAATAACTTAAGAACTGAACTGAAAGAACAGAATTTATTCGTAATATTCCTTGGCTTTTGGAACCCTCCCTGGGAGATTTACATGGTTTGAAAAGGGAATTCAGATTTTTCGTAATGTAAATACCCAGTGAGCGTCGTATTAAGTGTTGAAATACTTTTTTTGTGCCGCATTTGCGCATGAACGTAAAAGATGAACAGATCGGTGAAACATCGCGAAGAAGAGTCATCATCGATAGTTTATTAACTGAAACAAAGCAGTTACGTCATATTTAGTAAATTTGAATGCCAACCTTAATGCAAAATAGATCCTAAGTATTGGTACGTACAGTTTGAATTTCCGGGAACAGTTTTCTGTGTTGTGACATTGTCGCAAAGTTTGTCAGGTAATTACACCAACGGCTTTTGTTTTCGTTTTTCTTGCCCCAATATTTGTATTGTTGTTTTATAAAAACAGTTTTTTCCAAAACTTCGAGGTGTCCTTTTAAGCATTTTGCTAAAATGGCGAAACCTCCGGGTCGACAAGCAAAATATTTCGTCGTTCCTTTGACGAAATATTTTTAGACCGAACGAGATCATGGAGCTCCATTATTTCCTTTACAGTCCGTAAGAGAGGTATTCGGTAGTAAATAGAATTTATACCAGCTCAAGCGTTTACAACACTTACGCTCCATAATGTTGGCTGCGGTAAGTCACAAAGTAGATTTTGTAAAACGTCCTAGGATCTAGTAGCTTTAATTAATGTGGCAACCATGTGCGTCACTGTCATTATTTGACGTTGTGGCGTAACTGCTTTGATTCAGTGAATAAGCTATCTCTTTCACTATCTCTCCTGGAACACGTGTAAGATAAGAATAGGTCGCTAGGTCTACCGACTGGTTCACATCTTACTATTCTGCGTTTTCCGTTCTATGACTATGGTTACAGGTCTACCAATAAGATGAAAGGAAAAGCTGGCCTGCTTGATTGTCATAGTTTTCTACTTCTCCGTGTCAGAACTCTATTTTGAGGTTATGTCACAATTATTTGCATCAAATTGTGCTTGCTTTTGAGTTATATCATGTTTTATCAGCCTAAAATTTCCTACAATTTAAAAAGAAAACATCTTCACAATAGGAGAGCGCTGACGCTGACACGGGACAAGTGTAATCTAGAAATTTTTGAAAGAGACAAAGCAGTATGACAATCAAGGAGGCCATAAACGCTTCTCCGTGTCAGAACTCTATTTTGAGGTTATGTCACAAACATCTATTTGCATCAAATTGTGCTTGCTTTTGAGTTATATTATGTTTTATCAGCCTGAAATTTCCTACAATTTAAAAAGAAAACATATCTTCACAATAGGAGAGCGCTGACGCGGACACGGGACAAGTGTAATCTTGAAATTTTTGAAGGAGAGAAAGGAGGCTGATAATCAGGGAGGCCATAAACGCGCCCTACAATTGTAGGGACGACTGACGATACGGTCCTAAGAAAAAAACACGACTTCATATCGTTTCACAGATATTTTCTTCAAAAAAACATAATTGTTTTGAAACAAGAATTTCGATATTTATGCGCTAACTACCGGTAGTAAAAATCTCTCAAATACGGAGAAAAATCCCCCAATATGACAACCCTGAAAGACTGACTTTGCAGGCACGTCGAAAAGATCGAATATCGAATCGATAGGTTGGAGTGTTCTCAAAAAATTCGATTCGGTGCAATCGATTCACGTGTCACTCAACTGACAGACTGGAACGCCAGAGGTATTACGTAACTTGAAAAGTGACATTGTCGTTTTTTTGACATTGTGCAAGGCTGTCCACGTCCATGTCGGCTTCTTCGTCATCGCAGTCAGCACGATGTGAACTCGAAGCAGTCTAAAAACTCGAAGTCGCTTGACAGTTGACAATCTGTTTGAAGTAGCAGCACCGGCGACAGATGGCAGGCGAATGGCGGGCAATTTGAATTTTTGAATAACAAGACTGCCTGTCGCTAATCAAACCGTGACGTTCGAGCTACTTTAGAATCTGGAGGTAAATGGTTGAATAAAACTACTTTTTCCTATAAATGCATTTATTTTTCCCACTAAAAAAAAAGATAAACAATCCACAAACCATAAGATAATCATAAATGAAGTATTATTATTCACTGATAAGTACTAACAACAAATATTTCTTATATTTAATTATTAATACTCAGATAGCACAGTAGTTTCAAAAGGTAACTTCAAGTTAAGAAACTAATAAAAAAAAGGAAAAAGCAACAACTGTTTGTGAAAAAAAGTTTTTGTACGTATTGCTTCTATTTCAGAAATAGCAAATCGTTTATGGTAGTGCTATCCGAATAGGTAATATCATAAAATTATCGACTATTCCAGTAAATTGTTCAAAGTTCAAAAATAGGCAAATTTCACCCTCATCAAAAATGTGTGATTCCACAGTATAATATATGGACTACTTCTAATGACATACCTTAAAAATTTGGAAACAGTCAAAAGACTACTTTGCAACAAAAAACGTTAAAATAAAATTATACTGTCATAGTAGCATGATAAAACGAAAAGGTTATATATACGGTTATGTAGAAACCGTGAAGCTAAAAATCAATCTGAAAGAAGTACATTTAGAGTATAATAATTTTCATTTTTATCATTTGCGATTTTTTTGTATATTACGAGTATGGTATATGTATTTGCAATTTTTTATATAGTCGTTGTCGACAAATGCTAAATATTTATCCCCCGAAGACTGGTGTAACGATGATCAAACACACTTTTCCTTCATTTTGAGCATTAGTACACTCTGCGAAAACCGAAAGCTTGCTAATTTTATTATTTATTTCAAAATAATCTCCAAGGTTTAAACTTGGCAACTGCAAAAATTATAATTTGTAAGTAGAACTGCAGGGATCAATTACCGTAAAATTTGGCGTTAGATAATTATGGAAACTTGTTATTTAAAATGAAACACCTTGTATATTATTAAATGTTTGAAATCTACTCAAATAGATTTCACATATAACGTCAAATTTTTTATGTAAGAATTCTCAAATGCAACTCCATAAAAACCTATCAATATTTCGTACATTTTTGTCTTTGTCGAACGATTTGTAACCGCTCCCTCATAGAAAGAGTCTACTTTAATGGAATTTAAACATTTTGATATTCTTCTTCTTTATTCCTTATTGTTTCTGTACACGTGTACAATCCGCCAGCTCATTTGTTGTGACTGTACTTTGTCTGGCTCTCGGCCATGTACGAGTCTCGAATTCACGTGTAGAAATGCTGTAAAATATATCTATATCTTCAGCTGTAGAGCTGGGATGTTGCTATTTACGATTAATGAAAACCTTTACTTATGCTTTCTAAAGTGGTGTGGGGAGGTTAGTCAGACAGATAGCACAAAACAGGTATAGACTTTTCTCGTACCCGGGCACCGGAGGTACATTACACACACCCTAAAGGATTAGCACCCCAAGTTTTCATAATCGCCTATCGTCAACTTTTCGAGTAATCGACAGCTGCAGTTCTACGTGGAACACCCTGTATACGAATTTATCGGAATCAAAACATGGTTAAAGTCAATATTCCCTATACGATCGCATCCATCTACAACGACCTTTTTTTTTTCTTTTATATATCTTCACGTCGCGTGGACGCGCTCTAATCTTTTTTGATCTGAGTAGCGGCCTGTTTGTTCGCATGATGCGCCTGCAGCACCGCTACAGCCTCTTCGACTTTGTTCTTAAGAGACTCGTTGTGCTCGAGCATGTGCAACAGTTCGGTATTGTCGATTTCGAGCAACATGCCGGTGATTTTGCCGGCGAGGTCCGAATACATCCTCTGGATGAGAGGGAACAGCCGTTCGCCCAGCATCTGCTTCTGTTCCGGCGGGGGAGCCGCGGCCAGCATGGTGGCCGTCAGCGGCTCCTGACCTTGGATATGCACGGCCTGTTGGACCGAAGCTGCTGCAGCCTGCGTAAAATATTACCAATAAAAAAAAAGGAATGTTCCCGAACCAATTAATAAAAGCTGTATTTAAATCTGGAGATAAACAGAAACCTTTTAATTGTAATAACACCTGCATGGAAAGACGAATGTTAACGACCCAATTAAAAAAAGCAATGATTAAAAGCTGCATTTAAATCTGGAGATAAACAGAAAACTTGTAATTGTCCAACTTCAGTAATGACGGACTTTACAAAAATATTATCGAGTTTACCTATATGTGAATTGTACCCATACATACTGCGATCTACTGCATAAGATTTACAAAATCGTCGAAAAACCGAAAGTGCTAATAATAATAATAATACACATACCTGCAATCCCAATGCCTGCGGCGGATTGCGCATGTTCGGCGTGTACTTGAAGTTGGGGGTGCGGCCTCCGGCTGTCGCAACGACTCCTCCCTGTCCCGCTAGAGGGCGGCCCTGCATGCCGGCCGGTTGCTGGCCGGTGATTGGTCTAGCGACGCTCATGTTGCCGCGCATAGCCGCCGTCTGATTGGGCGGACGAGCTGCAGCCGCGCGGTATGTGTTCGGCATGCCTAGAAACGGATAAGCGTTTTCGAACATCTACCAAAAATATTTGCATCGGATTACACCGACAACATTAATGATCAAAACCTCGGAATAGTATCGGATCCTCACGTACGTTGGGACATTCATGTCAATTACTGGGTGCGCCATCTATTACTTTTTTTAACCTATAAGTTTATGTGTTACCACGTGACCATCAACAGCGGCGTGTTTTTGTGAATTGGATGCTGGAAAGAGAAGACGGATTTTCGGCCAAAGCGCTCTTTTCTGATGAGGCTCATTTTCACCTCAATAGGTACGTAAATAAGCAAATTTGCAGACTCTGGGGGGCTGAAAATCCACACCAACATCATGAACAACCTCTGCATCCTGAAGAAGTGACTGTTTGATGCGGATTATGGGCTGGTGGCATCGTTGGACCATTCTTCTTTGAAGATGCCGAAGAAAAGGCCATTACCGTCAATGGGGAACGTTATCGCGACATGGTAACAGGCCACAATTGGATCGTATTGGTGCCGACGATCTTTGGTTTCATCAAGACGGAGCAACATCTCGCCAAACAATCGCCTTATTGCACACGAAATTTCAATACCGCATAATTTCACGAAATTTAGATGTCAGTTTTCCCCCGAGATCGTGCGATTTAACACCTCTTGACTATTTTCTTTGGGGATTTTTGTAACGAAAAATTTATGCGAATAGTCCCAGGACAATTCAAGACCTAAAGAGCAATATTCGGACTGAAATTGCAGCCATAGACCCGATTATTATGGGAAAAGTAATTGAAAATTTTGATGTTCGGATGTTGGCCTGTAAACGAAGCCGCGGTAGTCACATGACTGATGTTATTTTTCATACATAAATGGCATAAACCAACCTTCATTTATCAATAAAAAAAAATCGATTTCACTTCGTAAAAAGCGTGTTATATTTCAAATACAAAAAAGTAATAGATGACGCACCCTGTATATTTTAGAGAAAGTTAGATTTGTATCGTACAAAACTGAATACTTTGCGGATATTCTGAGGAACTCATTCGAATAAACAAAGACCTGTATTCCAATGAACGTGTTTACACTTGCAGAGTGCACGCGCAACGCACGGTGAGTATACCAGACTTAGAGGAAGCTGTTTTAAGCACAATTGAGAAACAAGTACTAGGAAAATAGTATTTCGATTTTCTTATTTGGAAAATACAGGGTGTACAGTGGGAAAGTTCACGTTTCAAATTTGAATTACGCGGTAACCGTATACGCGAGGAAGTGGGGGTTAAATAGTCACAATGGAACGTTGGACCGGAGCGCATATTTAAGAAATAAAACCCGCCAAATTTACGAATATGTTGATAGTAATAAATATTTTCTGTTCATTAAGTTTGTATTTTTTTTCTTAAATTGAAAAATGAACTTTTTTACTTGTTGATAATTCACTATACCCCTATCATATTCAAAGAGTTCAAGCACTACTGCCGAGTGATTTTCTACTTGTAATTTAAAGATGTTTAAATTGAAGGAAAATTAAAGGATAGTGGAAATTCTTAGAGATGCAAGTTTTGATTTTCCAAATATCTGTATATTATGTAATTGTAGTTTTTAAAAGAATATAACTGTAGCAATCATGCTAATTTAATCTTAAACAAACTACATATTTAATTGAAACTAGCTTTTATAGCGTGGAATAATACTGTGTGTTAGATCTTATTTTTTACTAATTGATTGGTTTACCACAAGGTAGTAAACTAGGTCCACTAGTATTTATTTTATACATTAATGACATTTGTAATATTTTAGATTATTGTAAACTGATATCTGCAGATGATACATTAATATACATATCGGATGAAAATATAGACACTGCTTTAAAAATGCTAAATTGTGACTTGGCAAAAATCGTAAATTGGTTAAATGTAAATAAACTAAAATTGAATACTTCTAAAACAAAATGTATGCTAATAGGGAAATACCTAAATGAAAATACTATCACAGTTAGGATAAATGGAGAAATAATTAAAATTGTTGAATCAATTAAATAATTAGGTATATATATATATATATATTGATTGTAAACAAGTTTCACTATGAATACATTATTTCAAAATTTGCAAAAAAACAAATTACTTTTATAGGGCTTTTCATAATCTTGGTACCTATTCCAAGAAAATAGTTTATAATACAATTATTCTACCGCATTTACTATATTGTTTAACTATCTTGTTCACTGCCAATGAAGCTGTATTATCAAAATTACCAGTCTTGCAAAATAAAGCTATGAGAATAATATTGAATAAAAATAAGTACACCAAAATAAAATCTATGCTACAAGAATTGCAGTGGCTGAATATAAAAAAATTCATATCATATTTGGTTCTTATTTTTACATTTAAAATAAAAAATCAACTTTTGCCAGAACATTTTGAACACTACATAGAATTGAATAATCATTACCACAATTATTATACAAGAGAAGATATAGATTTTCATTTACAAAATTGCAATAGTAATATAACTAGCAAATCAATATTTCAGAAAGGATTACTTGAATTTAATAATAATGATATAATGTCTACTTGAAATTTAAAGATATTTAAAAGAAAATTAAAGGAATATTTCATGGACAATGAAAATTCTTAGAGATGCAATTTTTTTTTCTTCTGAATGTCTGTATGTTATGTAATTGTTTAGTTTTTTAAAAGAATGTAATTGTAGCAATCTGCTAAATAAATCTTAAACAAAAACAAAAAATTGTCGATTGTTAGATACAGGTTTTTTTTTAGATTGAACCTGAAATTGTATGACCCTTCCCGTACAATGTTTTTGTCAATAGGAAATAAATAAAATGCAGAATAAATTAATAAAATACAGAATAAATATACAGGGTTATCCAAATTAAGTGTCCACCATTAGTAACTTTGTTATTAGTGAAAATACAAAGTTGTTTGAATTAGCAAACTAGTAGCATTTTTAACGCTGGTAAAAATGAGAAATAAAAAAAAACAATTGAGAGTCGTTATTTTGATTTTTTTCAGTAAAATAACATTTTTTTAAATGGAAACCCCTGTATATTATATTTTTTTCTGTTAAAGCATCAAATTTTAAACAAAAAAGTTCATAATGACTTTTCCGCTAAAGTCAAAAATAAAGTCAAAATAACGATAAATATTTTTAATTATTTGCAGTATTATAATATTAAGACGGCTATGAAAACAATATGGCGTTCGCGATTTGACAGCATTAAGATAAGCGACAAATTGTTAAACTGGACATACTCGCAACTAGAAGGCTTTGGAAAACAATGATAAAATCAAATAATGTCAAACATTAGTGTAAATACTTGTTTATAAGCTTTATTGTGTCATTAATTTAAAGAAAAATGTTCTCCCATGAAGAAAAGTGTGATATGTTAGAATGCTATTTAGTGTGCAGAAAATCCTCCTTGAGAGCAAGAGAATACTACAGTGAATTATATCCCGCTCGCATTCAACCGTATGAACGATATTTTCTGAGACTTTATCGAAAATTTAGGGGCAACGAAAATGTTTTTGCTAAAACAAGGGCAAAAAAAGAATTCATAATAAGCGAGGCCACGGAAATTGCAGTTATTGGATATTTTGAAGCTTATCGTGAGAATTCAATAGCAGATATTCTCAAGGACTCTAATTTCAGTTATGGTACTGTTCAAAGGATTTTAAAAAAATACAAATTTATTCCGTATAAGTACCGACCAGTTCAAACGCTTTTGGCAGGGGATCCAGAGAGAAGACTTGTTTTTTGCCATTGGTATCTTAGCTTCTGTCGCCAAAATGTAAATAACTTTCGTTACCTTTTATGGACAGATGAATCAAATTTTTCAAATTCTGGAATGTTTAATAGAAAAAAACACCATTATTGGACAAGAGAAAATCTTTAGTAGTACATCCAAGAGGCCCACAAGTCCGTTTCAGTTTCAACGTTTGGTGCGGTATAATTGGTTCAAAAATTGTTGGCCCGTTCTTTTATGAGGGAACCCTAACTGGTGAAAGATATGTAGAATTTATGTCAGAAATTCTGACTAATTTCTTAGACGAATTGGATCTTATAAGTAGACATCATCTGCATTTTCAGCAAGATGGCGCACCTGCCCACAACTCCAGAGGTACTTATCATTTTCTAAGTACTACTTTTAATGATCAGTGGATAGGAACAAATGGCCCAATACAGTGGCCTCCCAGATCACCAGATCTAAACCCGCTTGATTACTTCTTGTGGGGTTACTTAAAGAACCAAATTTACAAGCGAAGGTACGATAACCTTGACGCGTTAAAGACTGCAGTTAGGGAAAAGATAACCCAGATAGATGGTAGGACCATACTTAAGACAGTTCGAGCAGTTGAAAAACGTGCCCAAAAATGTATTGAAGAACAAGGTGGTGTTTTCGAGCATCTTCTTTAAAAAAAATTGTTATTGTATTTTGTAAGATTATAAGTTGATGTTGAAAATAAAGTTTGTCGATACAATTTAATTGTTTCAGATTGGAGGCCATAACTTCAACAATTTGTAACCTAGGAGAAAAGTTATTGTAAGCTTTTTTGTTTAAAATTTGATGCTTTAACAGAAAAAAATATAATATACAGGGGTTTCCATTTAAAAAAATGTTATTTTACTGAAAAAAATCAAAATAACGACTCTCAATTGTTTTTTTTATTTCTCATTTTTACCAGCGTTAAAAATGCTACTAGTTTGCTAATTCAAACAACTTTGTATTTTCACTAATAACAAAGTTACTAATGGTGGACACTTAATTTGGATAACCCTGTATAAAATGCAGATTAAATAAATAAAATGCAGAATAAATAAATAAAATGCAGAGTAACTAAATAAAATATAGAGAAAATAAATAAAATGCAGAATAAATAAATAAAATGCAGAATAAATAAATAAAATGCAGAATAAATAAATAAATAAAATGAAGAATAAATAAATAAAATGCAGAGTAAATAAATAAAATGCAGAATAAATAAATAAAATACAGAATGAATAAATAAAATGCAGAATAACTAAATAAAATACAGAGAAAATAAATAAAATACAGAGAAAATAAATAAAATGCAGAATAAATAAATAAAATACAGAGTTATTAAATAAAATACAGAATAAATAAATAAAATGCAGAATAAATAAATAAAATGCAGAATAAATAAATAAAATGCAGAATAAATAAACAAAATGCAGAATAAATAAATAAAATACAGAATTATTAAATAAAATACGGAATAAATAAATAAAATGCAGAATAAATAAATAAAATAAAGAATAAATAAACTCACCGGGATATCCGGTAGCGCCACCTTGCGCGCCGGGTCTGATAGGGCCCTGAGCTGGCCATCTGGGGCTCGTTCTGATCTGCGCCATCTGCGCCGGTCCGTAGAATCTTTGCGCGGCCGGTATAGTGGGCACGAAGTATCCGTTGCTTGCGCCCGGCTGAATGAACTGACCCATCTGGTGCATGCGCATGTTCGCGACGCGCTGCATGTACTGCGAGGTCAGGTGAGCCTTGCGGTCTTCCTTTCGTTGGGCCAAAGCGACGTACAACGGCTTCGTACCGACTATGCGACCGTTCATCTCAGTAACGGCCTTGGTCGCTTCTTCCGGAGAGGAGAAGCAGACGAAGCCGAAGCCTTTGCTTCTGCCATCTTCTATCATGACCTGTTCATAATAATAAAGCATTTATTGTCACACATTACTGATACCATTTCGAGAACGATACAGTGAAAATTCCCTTTATATTGTATCAACTGTCTCTTGGGCGGACACGAGAAACTGTTCTCCTAACCGGACAAACGACAAAAAGAAACGCCTCTTCTTATTATTTTTGCATTTCTCAATCGAGCCGCGCGCCATCTTCGCTGGGAGTTATGACAGAGTCATAGCAAAACCTAGTTGGGAAAACGGCTAAAGAAATATTACTATTATGAACTGTAGAATTCAATGAACACGGATAATATCCTGCTTACCTTTGCGGAAGTGATTGTTCCAAACGGAGCAAACTCCTTCCTCAGGCGTTCGTCATCGATGGTGTCGTCCAAATTCTTTACATAAAGATTCACTCCTTGGTAACGATTGAGTCTCTCCATCTTGAGCGCCTCGAACCGTCTCTTGAGCTCCTGTTGGCGCTCGGCTTTCTTTTGAGCGCGACCGACGTACAGGGGTTTCCCTTCTACGAGTTCCTTGCCGTTCAAAGCTTCCACGGCCGCCTCGGCCGCTTCTGGGGTCTCAAATGCCACGAAGCCGAAACCTTGAAGACACATTGTGGTTGGTGATGTTACGAATATAACGATTTCTTCTGATAGAGCTTTCAGGAAATATGACGCTCGTGTCGGTTTAATGTGAAATGAAGGTTTTGAGTATATTCCAGAACCAAACGCTCTGCATAAAAGCGGCAAAATATTCGAGATAATGTACAGTACGTTCAGAAAATGAAGTACAATTCTGCAGCTGCAAATAAGTCAGGGCCTACCATATGGCATTTTTTTTTTTAGAATTTCTTAGTTTCGAGTAATTCAACATCCATATTTCATGATGGAAATTATCATTTACCAATCAAAAATTAAAAAGATATATATCCTATAAAAAGGTAAAAGGGCTAAGAACTGACATAACTGAACATAACACACAAATAATACATCTTCCCAAACCCAAAATGCTTGGGAACTATAGAAAATTCTCGAGTTTTTTATAGAAGGCCGTGGTACTTATTGAGAAAATTGCATACTGAGATCATTCAAATATATTCTACCTTTGGATTTTCCATCTTCCTTGTTCATTATCTTCAAGCTAGTGATTTTCCCGAATTTCTCGTACATTGTCCGCAACTGCTCTTCAGTCACGTCCTCGCCGAAGTTCTTGACATACACGTTGGTGAACAGTTTGGCTTTCTCTCCAAGTTCCTTCTCCCTTTCCTTGCGTGGGATGAACCTGCCAACGTACACTTTCTTGTTGTTCAGCAACATCCCATTTACCTAAACATTTTTCGATTACTAGATGACTGCTATGATTCTTTCCTACACGATTGAAGAGTTTGGTGCAAAAAGTGGTCGACATCCTGAAGTTTCATATGATTTGTTTTATCATTACATACCATCAGAAGTGCATTATAATAATGTCAGTAGTTCTTCCGGTTTACAAATTATCAATTTGTTTGCGGATTACTTCTCTAAAACTTACAGCGTAGAGAATAGTACTGTTCAGAATAGTAATCTTTCATATGGGGGTCATCAATTTGTTTATCTATGAAATTGCAATCTCAGCCATCTATGAAGACTGTCCAAATTAGCCGCTAATAAAGGCCCTGGTGTATGTCCGTTATTGATTAAACATTGTAGCGTTCTGATTCCTAGACATCTATTTTATATTTTGAATCTTTCGTTGAAAAGTGGAACTTTTATGGAATGTTGGAAAACAAGCTTCATTACTCCAATAATGAAATCTGGAGATCCTTCACAAGTCAAAAATTATCGACCTATCAGTAAAATGAGTTGCATTGGAATGGTATTTGAGAGTGTGTGAATTTTTATCCGCAAATTTGCAAAGTAGTTTTATAAGCCAACAGTTTGGATTTCTTTCAAAACGCTCCACACACACAACTATGTTTTGGAATCCTTGGAGGAAGGTTATTCTGTTAACATAGTTTATACAGATTTTTCTAAAGCATTCGATATGGTCAATGATGAGATCTTGATTAATAAGTTACATTGTCTAGGAATTTGCAGGGATCTTTTATCATGTCTGCAGTCTTACCTCACTGACCAAAAACAAATAGAGTTATACAAAGTTTTAAATCAAATGAGATTAATATGCTATCTGGAGTACCTCAAGGTTCCCATCTGGGTCCTCTTCTTTTCAATATATACATGAATGATATTATATACTGTTTTAAGTCTGTTAGTTTTATAATGTTTTTGCAGAAGATTTGAAATTATTCTTAAAAATCATCAATCAAATAAATATCCAAAATGAAATATAAATATATCAAATGAACAGAATGGTACTTAATGTGGAAAAATGTCATTTAATGGTCTTCAGCCCTAACAGGGACCCCATTAATCATACTTATACCATGAAAGATTGTCCTCTAAAGAGTGTATCCCAAGTTAGAGATTTAGGGGTAATTCTTGACCCAAAATTATCCTTTATTACCCATCTAAATATGATTGTTTCATAATCTCTCCAACTGTTGGGATTTATAAAAGGAAGTGCTAAGGATGTTAATAATATTCAGTCATTTAAAATGTTGTTTTGTTCTTTGGTGTGGCCCCATCTGGAGTATTGTTCTTGTGTTGGGTCACCCAACTATAATGTTCATATTCAGGCAATTGAGAGAGTGCAACATAAATTCTTAAGATTGATTTCATTCAAACAAAACATTATGGTTGAAGATATTATCTATTCCAACATTGAAAGCTCTCTCAATATCCTAACCTTTCAGATAAGACAAAATCAGAGGGACCTGTCACTATTTTATAATATTTTGCACTCCTCGTAGTTTTGCTCCAGAATTTTTGTTAAAATTCGCAGAATATTTCCTATCATGTGACAAATTTTTTAGTTTGATTTTATCCAAAAATGGCACAATTTATAGATATTCAATAAGAGTACCTTTTTTATGTAAAAAACCTTAAATTTTCCAATCAAATTACAAAAATAGAATCACACAAAAATGTTGGGGCTAAAATAACCTAAGTCTGTCCTGCTTCTAAACAAAACTGTCTAAAATTGTTAATATTTTTAAATCCAGCATAAAAAACCAAAAATACCAAATTTTATGTCTTTATCTCAACACGTTTCGGAAATATTAAGGAAAAACCATCTTTAGGGGAGCCCCTTTAAAAGACTGTAGCACCCTTAAGGGACGTTTGTCGTTATAAAAACTTGTCTTCCTATTTTAAGCTCTAGAAACCGCTGGTAGAATATTGCACACTTTTTTCGGGACACTCTGTATACATTTTCACTAGCAGTATTGAGCACATGAAAATTTGTCTATTTAACTTAACTTATGTTTTGAATATATGTAGGTTGAGTATCACATGAATCTTTAGTTCAATTTATACGAAATTATTGCAATCTGTCACATAAACATAATAATACATTTTTTTGAACGTAATGGGAAACCATAAATTCATATAAAGCTATTGTAATGTGTCACACGAACAATGTTCTTTTTTTTGTATGCAATAGGAAACTGTAAATAAATAAATTATAAAAATGGAATTGACTGGTCTTTGCACCAAGCCTTTCAAGACAAATACAAGTACTTAGATGTAGATTGAATATTACAAGCCATATAAACTTAGATACAGGATCTCGGTTGCTAAATTATCACACTGCTATTGATCGGCTTACTGTAAGCCAACAGCAGAGTAAAAAATGAGACAACCTACATTATTGTATCAGTTGCTATAGATATGAGCCAAATTATAAATCCAATTCCTAAAACAGTGTAATAGTTACCTTTTCAATGGACTTGTTAGCAGATTCTTCGGTTTCAAAATGCACGAAGCCGTACCCCTTGCTCTGACCGTTCTCGTCTTGAGCCACTTTGCAACTCAAGATATTCCCGAAGGCCGAAAAAGTATCGTACATAGCCTTGTTATCGATAGACCGATCGAGGTTCTTGATGAACACGTTCCCAACCCCGGACTTACGCAGAGAGGGGTCGCGTTGGGACCACATGATACGGATAGGTCTTCCCTTGATCAAATCGAAATTCATCGTGTCCAAGGCGCGCTCAGCATCAACGGGCTGCTGAAAATTCACGTAGGCGTACCCTAAAGAGCGACGGGTGATCAGATCTCTGCAGACCCGTATGGAAAGCACCGGTCCAGCAGTCGAGAATTTCTCGAACAGCATAGCCTCCGTAATGTCGGAGTGCAGGTCCCCGACGTACAATGACGCCATCGGGTAGTTTGGGGCCCCGGGATTCATCGTGGCAGCTGGACAGCTGTACTAGCTTCACACGCGGTCAAGGCGATTTACGCGTAAAACGAAAAAAAATTGAATATTTTTAACGTTTAATGCTTTTTCGATTTTTTTGGTGATTTTTCATATGGTTTTTATGTATTTTTTTGGGTTTTTGAGTTATTATTTCAGCTAAAGTGGGTTGTGAACACGTGAGTCACCCACAACACCACGCACGCACTCAATCACAACATGGTGGCATGGTTCGGGCATGGCGGCGTGATGCCGATGGCACAGGACGCAGACTCAGAGTGGCAGTGTTGCCGGGCTGAAAAAGACAAAATCGGTAGATAGTGCCAAAAATCGGTAGATTCAGGTCCAGAATCGGTAAAAGCAATAAACATAGCAGTCGCAAGATCAGCAATACATCAAGAACGTTTGCGAAAAATCTAAATCATTTTGAAAAATCGCGGAAAATGTGGACGTTTTCAGTATTTCCGTAAATATGGGTTCAAAATCGGTAGAAGGAAAAAACCAGCAGTCGCAAGATCGGCAGTATATCAAGAGTCTGTAGAAGACTATCCGTAGCTAAATTTTTCTTGAAATCGTTGCACAACACTTAAAAATATGCAAATGAAGATTGGAAAACTGCCGCTTTGACGTTCTAAATGACTCCGCCGTTACTCCAGGATAAAGTTACAGTCAAATGTATTAGTAGTCACAACAACACGCGATGATACATGCAGTGCAGGCGGAGTACGACGTTGCCAGTTGTGTGAGGGATTTTGTTTTGTTTGTTTTTCTTCGGAAAATTGTATTTAATAAGCAAGAAAATTATTTTGTTAGAGACAGCTAATTAATAAATAGATGTATGGATACATTTTACGCTACCATACTTAGTAAACATAGTGCCAAGGACTATACTGGAAATACTGTCAGTGGTAATCCAATTCCTTGGACTAAAAATAGTTTTTTGTTCGAAGCCTTGCTAATAGTTTTGTATTTTTCATAAATGAATGTAAGTACGAATACTTACAAGAACGTTAGATCAGTGCACGTTTCTGTGAATTTATTTTTATAATAATGTATTACAGGGTGGCCAGACTAGGTTTAATTCAGTAATCACACAATCTCACATCAAGCATTTATTTTCAACGCCCACTTAAATACAATGGAAAATTAGAAAAAAACACGTTTGCTTATAACTTAAAAAACAAATGTAACGTGATATATCGTTGAAGTCGTAGGAAAAGGTGTTATTAGATATAGGGTAGTACTTTTTTAAAACATCATCATGTAATACCTAAATAGTGCCATTAGTTTTTTGATATTTCTCAAGTCAGACAAAAATAAAAACGATTTGATCAAATCTCTCAATGCATGCAATTTATTTAAAAAAAACATAGGATGTAAACCCTAACACACACATGTATGAGTATGCAAGGCTCACCTAGTTAGCTACACAGATATCCTGTATCCCTCAGAAGTAGACCTAATTTCCACTTTGGAGACACTTGACACCCACGTCACAACACCAAAGCACCACTGAGAGACAATCAAGAACCCTATATAGTGAACACCACTATTGAAATAAAGTATCTAAACCGAATAGAGCTCTCGACAAAGCTGTGTACGTGTGGACAATCCGCCGCGTCGACGGTTGCCGAGAGACTGAAGCGTGTGTGTGCCGTTGTTGATATTTACATTGATCGGGAGCAGACGCGTGGAGTGGGAGCTTGAAAGGGGCGTGGCTGTACTACCCGGCCGTACCGTGTCGCCGCAGCGAGGTACAGCACTCCCACGCTTCAATCTCTCGGAAACCGTCGACGCAGCGGAATATCGAATGTCTACGCATTACGGTACAGCCGGGTAGTACAGCCACGCCCCTTTCCATCTCCAACTCCGCGCGTCTGCTCCCGGTCAACGTAAACATCATCAACAGCACACACACGCTTCAGTCTCTCGGCAGCCGTCGCCGCGGCGGGATGTCTACGTGTTCGCAGCTCCGTCCACACCTCTATTCGGTTTAGCTACTGTTTTTCAGTAGTGGTGATCACTATATAGGGTTCTCGATTGTCTCTCAGTGGTGCTTTGGTGTTGTGACGTGGGTGTCAAGTGTCTCCAAAGTGGAAATTAGGTCTACTTCCGACTCTTCTGAGGGATACAGGATATCTGTGTAGCTAACTAGGTGAGCCTTGCATACTCATCTACTTGTGTGTTACGATTGACATCCTATGTTTTTTTTTAAATAAATTTCGCACTTTGCATACACTGAGAGATTAGTCATATACGAGGTATTTCTCAATCGCCAGATCAATATTAGTCAAAGAATCTCTTCCAAAAAGACTTATTTTCACTACATAAGCTGGCTAGCACTGTTTAAAGGCTACTTAAAAAATGACCCTCGTATAAAATGTTACTTCAATGCTACTTAGATTAATAAATGTGGCATGCTGGCGATTTTCGATTGTACAAATGAAGCTAGAATTGTGTAACGATTTCATTTTTTTTCACCCGATACAGTTTATCTTAGCAGTGACTGTTGAGTTTTTCTAGGGGTTTTCCTCGCCCAAGTGCGAGTGCAGTCACTAAAAACCCGTATTTCCCCAATAAATAGTATAGAAAATGAAAATCGTGCTTCTCCTGTTAATGATCATGTAATTTTAGATCAAATAGTTAATAAATATATTTATATAATAAAACATTGTTTTTTCCAATTAGTAAAAAGTATTGAAACTAGGCATTTATAAAAATGTTCCGCCGCATAGATGCCAGGCGACGCAAAATGTAAATAACAGCTTTTTTTAGTTTTTTTTGGCAAACATTGCTACTCCTCAGATTTTATATATCTCCATTGGTATCCCTCAATATTTTATTCAAACCTTTTTTATATAACATCTTAGCAAAATAGCGGAGGTAGCAATTGTCCGATGAGCTGGCAACCCCGCAATCTAGGTGATAAGAATGACAATGTCAACTGCCAAAACGTATGTATATCCCGGGGTAACGGCGGAGTCATTTAGTACGTCAAAGAAACTGTTCTCCAATCTTCATTTGCTTTTTTAAGCGGTGTGCAACGATTTCGAGAAAAATTACGCTACGGATAGTCTAGTAGAGTATATTTCAATACTTGTCTTGCATGGCCATGTTATCTTTAATCGGGCCTGAAAATATTTAAATTATTTTGGAAAATGTAGACGTTTTCGGTATTTCGATAAATATATAACCTCATTTCGGTATAAATACCCAAAAAATCTGTAGTTTCTGCAATGCTGACCTGAAGCGTCTGTCAAAAATCAGGTTGGATGCTCCATCAACGTCAACTTGAGTTCTATGCGATTGGTAGGTTTCTTGTTTCTTGTTTCTAGTGTTGATGGTGGTTTTATTCAATATGCAAATCTATAAAAAAAAATGTATCTTGGCCCCAGTAAAGATAACATGACCACGCAAGACAACCACTTGAAATATACTCTACTGATCGAAAGATAACGATATTCGTGAAGTGTATCGATACACCCAAATATCGTATGTAAAGTATCGATGCTTCTAAATACCCGATCGTATCGAACGTCCCTAATCGACAGTAGGCCTGAGACATTCGACTGTTTTCTCTGAGCTCGCTCATTTCGTTCATCTCTGTTCAGTGAGTCGTTCATTTGAACGATAGAATTACCGACCGGCCTCGAAGCTGACGAGAGTATTGTGTTGCCTATAGTAACGATTCACTGAGTCAGAATATACATCATACTATAAAAATGAAGTGAAGGGTTGCTGATGTTATTGCACTTATTTAAGTATTAATATTTTTGGTTGGAATTGAATGTAACGAATGAATCAAAATGCAATTTTTGCTCTCAAATCCCATCATTTCAACGTATAATTTAATGAGACATCTCAAAACAACCAGGTTCGCTAGATTGTGTCTGTTGCCAGTCCGCAGTTCAGTTGCTGGATACTGCAGACGTGCAGACACGCTTTGCACAATTGAACGAGTCATATGTAACAAAAGAGTCGTTCAATCATGGCTCACATAGATGAGTCGTTCGCGAACGACACATGTCTAATCGACAGTGCAAGTGCACATCCCTAGACTACAGCGGGCGCCATTTTGCTATCAACGTTTGTGATTTGTGTATTTTTCAGGGTTTGTAGCAAACTTTGAGGCTGCAAGACTTTTTTACATTAAACTTTGATTTGTGAAGGATAATAGTATTTAAAGGTGATACTCCTTTGACGCATGCTATTATTCTTACAGTGGCATAATTCAAGTAGTGCTTAAAAAAATGAACAAATAGTAACGGCACCGGTGCTCGTTTAGGTCTTTTACCGGCGAAATTTTATCTTCATCGTACTTTAAGTACCCGCTTTGTGTGTAATTGACTGACCCTCCCACAGAATCCTAATGATGTACACGGTGAGTACAAATCTGTTACGTTGCTGATACGAACAATTTATTACTTTTTTATTGTTAAAACACGTGGTAAAAATTCAGCAAATTGTGTAGCAATAATGATAATAAACCACAATATAGAAATTTATTTTTTATACTGGAACCACTATAACCTTTTTCTCAATTTTATAACGGTTATAGAAGGACTTTGACTGTCTACTACAGTATCTCCTGTTCCAAGTGGAACAATTATAATTACATAGCTCAGTTTTGACATTCTTTCAATTGTATCAGTAATTTTTTTCCATACTCCGTTGATAGCTAATTTGTATGTTCATCTTAGATGGTTTTTGTATGCACTCCATTAGTTATCATTCCCTGTGACCTGTGGGGCAATTAAGTATAAATAAATAAACACCTTGAGAGACAATCCAAATGAATCGCAAATCTGTTTCGGTACATGTTGCTGGAAATGATTCATTTGTAGGTAGGGTGTTAATGCCTAAAAATGAATGGATTTCTATTTTAGGGGACAAACACTGATCAGGACAATCGATTCAGTGACAAAGAGAAGAAACTTCTCAAACAGATGAAGTTCAACTCCTGTCTCAGTCAGCAGGTGGACATGACAAAGGTCAAGCTGGAAGTCATCAAGCCGTGGATTCAAGACAAGCTTACAGATATGCTGAAAATGGAAGATGATGTGGTGGTTAATTTCGTCTACAATCAATTGGAAGTTAAGGTATGTCTATAAACATGTTTTGTCACATATTTAAGATTGCAAATACGAGGGACCCTCAAATAGTGGCATGTGTTTTAACCTTACTTGCAAGATTTCAGTAAATTTTGATGATTGATGTCTTTTTTCACCGGTATCCATTACAGTAGAATCACAGCTGATTATCTAGTAATATTTCAAAATTCCCCATATTGACAAATGACACATAATTATTATCAATCTGTCAATGCCAGGTAGACAGAGCCACATTTTGTTTTGCTTTTTGTATGCTACATATTTATTTTATACTTGCTATAATAACTTTTTTATTTAGAAAAGTTCAATTGCATTAAAAAAAAACACTACAACCAAGGTTTACTAGATTTAGTGTTGCCAACATTATAGACTGATATAAAGATCTCACTTGCTGTGCCTAAAAAATAATATTCATGATTTTTTTGTTCTTGGACTTTAAAAATATAAACCCACAACACAATGTGTTGAAAATAACCCAAATTACTTGATTCTATTTTTTACATACCTCTAGGATCTTTGCTTTTGTTGTTGCTTTTAGTAGAATCACAGCTGATTATCTAGTAATATTTCAAAATTCCCCATATTGACAAATGACATAATTATGATCAATCTGTCAATGCCAGGTAGACAGAGCCACATTTTGTTTTGCTTTTTGTATGCTACATATTTATTTTATACTTGCTATAATAACTTTTTTATTTAGAAAGGTTCAATTGCATTAAAAAAAACACTACAAGCAAGGTTTACTAGATTTAGTGTTGCCAACATTATAGACTGATACAAAGGTCTCACTTGCTGATCAGCTGTTCTTTTGTTTCATGGCTAGGTAGATTTCTTTTCTAGTACCCCTCGTATATAGTTTGTAGTTAATGTAACTAAGCTGTGCCTAAAAAATAATATTCATGATTTTTCTGTTCTTGGACTTTAAAAATACAAACCCACAACACAGTGTGTTGAACATAAGAACCCAAATTACATGATTCTATTTTTTTACATACCTCTAGGATCTTTGCTTTTGTTGTTGCTTTTAGTAGAATCACAGCTGATTATCTAGTAATATTTCAAAATTCCCCCTATTGACAAATGACACATATTTATGATCAATCTGTCAATGCCAGGTAAACAGAGCCACATTTTGTTTTGCTTTTTGTATGCTACATATTTATTTTATACTTGCTATAATAACTTTTTTATTTAGAAAAGTTCAATTGCATACAAAAAAAAACACTACAATCATGGTTTACTAGATTTAGTATTGCCAATATTATAGACTGAAACAAAGGTCTCACTTGCTGATCAGCTGTTCTTTTGTTTCATGGCTAGGTAGATTTCTTTTCTAGTACCCCTTGTACATAGTTTGTAGTTAATGTAAACTAAGCTGTGCCTAAAAAATAATATTCATGATTTTTCTTTTCTTAGACTTTAAAAATATGAACCCACAACACAGTGTGTTGAAAATTATAACCTAAATTACTTGATTCTATTTTTTTACATGCCTCTAGGATTTTTGCGTTTGTTGTTGCTTTTAGTAGAATCACAGCTGATTATCTAGTAATATTTCAAAATTCCCCATATTGACAAATGACACATTCTGATAAATCTGTCAATGCCAGGTAGACAGAGCCACATTTTGTTTTGCTTTTTGTATGCTACGTATTTATTTTATACTTGCTATAATAACTTTTTTATTTAGAAAAGTTCAATTGCATTAAAAAAAAAACACTACAACCAAGGTTTACTAGATTTAGTGTTGCCAACATTATAGACTGATATAAAGATCTCACTTGCTGATCAGCTGTTCTTTTGTTTCATGGCTAGGTAGATTTCTTTTCTATTACCCCTCGTATATAGTATGAATTAAATGTAACTAAGCTGTGCCTAAAAAATAATATTCTTGATTTTTCTTTTCTTGGACTTTAAAAATACAAACCCTCAACACAGTGTGTTAAAAATAAGAACCCAAATTACTTGGTTCTATTTTTTTACATACCTCTAGGATCTTTGCTTTTGTTGTTGCTTTTAGTAGAATCACAGCTGATTATCTAGTAATATTTCAAAATTCCCCATATTGACAAATGACACATAATTATGATCAATCTGTCAATGCCAGGTAGACAGAGCCACATTTTGTTTTGCTTTTTGTATGCTACAGATTTATTTTATACTTGCTCTAACAACTGTTTTATTTAGAAAAGTTCTATTGCATACAAAAAAAAAACAATCACGGTTTACTAGATTTATTATTGCCAACATTATAGACTAATACAAAGGTCTCACCTGCTGATCAGCTGTTGTTTTGTTTTATGGCTAGGTAGAATTCTTTTCTAGTACCCCTCGTATATAGTTTGTAGTTAATGTAACTAAGCTGTGCCTAAAAAATAATATTCTTGATTTTTCTTTTTTTGGACTTGAAAAATATGAACCCACAACACTGTGTTGAACATAAGAACCCAAATTACTTGATTCTATTTTTTTACATACCTCTAGGATCTTTGCTTTTGTTGTTGCTTTTAGTAGAATCACAGCTGATTATCTAGTAATATTTCAAAATTCCCCATATTGACAAATGACACATAATTCTGATAAATCTGTCAATGCCAGGTAGACAGAGCCACATTTTGTTTTGCTTTTTGTATGCTACATATGTATTTTATACTTGCTATAATAGCTTTTTTATTTAGAAAAGTTCAATTGCATACAAAAAAACACTACAATCATGGTTTACTAGATTTAGTATTGCCAACATTATAGACTGATACAAAGGTCTCACTTGCTGATCAGCTGTTCTCTTGTTTCATGGCTAGGTAGATTTCTTTTTTAGTACCCCTTGTATATAGTTTGTAGTTAATGTAACTAAGCTGTGACTAAAAAATAATATTCATGATTTTTCTGTTCTTGGACTTTAAAAATACAAACCCACAACACAGTGTGTTGAACATAAGAACCCAAATTACTTGATTCTATTTTTTTACATACCTCTAGGATCTTTGCTTTTGTTGTTGCTTTTAGTAGAATCACAGCTGATTATCTAGTAATATTTCAAAATTCCCCATATTGACAAATGACACATAATTATGATAAATCTGTCAATGCCAGGTAAACAGAGCCACATTTTGTTTTGCTTTTTGTATGCTACATATTTATTTTATACTTGCTATAATAACTTTTTTATTTAGAAAAGTTCAATTGCATACAAAAAAAAACACTACAATCATGGTTTACTAGATTTAGTATTGCCAATATTATAGACTGAAACAAAGGTCTCACTTGCTGATCAGCTGTTCTTTTGTTTCATGGCTAGGTAGATTTCTTTTCTAGTACCCCTTGTACATAGTTTGTAGTTAATGTAAACTAAGCTGTGCCTAAAAAATAATATTCATATTGTTTTGCTTTTTGTATGCTACAGATTTATTTTATACTTGCTCCAACAATTATTTTATATAGAAAAGTTCAACTGCATACAAAAAAAACTCTACAAGCAAGGTTTACTAGATTTAGTATTGCCATGATTACAGATTGATACAAAGAGCTGTTCTTTTGTTTCATGGCTAGGTAGATTTCTTTTCTAGTATCCCTCGTATACAGTTTGTAGTTAATGTAATCAAGCTATAATATACATGATTTTTCTTTTCTTGGACTTTGAAAATACAAACCCACAACACAGTGTGTTGAAAATAAGAACCCAAATTACTTCTATTTTTTTAGATACCTCTAGGATTTTTGCTTTTGTCTTGCTTTTACTTTCCCATTGTTTAATTTCTTTATGCACAATCATATGGATGACAGAAGAGTATAACTATGAAACACATGACTTTTACCGACATATTTTCAGTTTCCCGATCCTAAGAAGATGCAGATCAATCTTACCGGATTTTTGCAAAGCAAGAATGCAATGGAGTTCATGGCTGAGCTGTGGGCGCTTCTGATATCAGCGCAGGAGAGTGCGTCTGGTATACCAGAGTCGCTCATGGATGCAAAAAGGGAAGAGTTGGCAATGAAAAAGGTAAAATTATTAGTCAACCGTATTATGGTCGAAGTCTTTATAAACTGTATTTTTTAGGAGAAAGAAGACAGGGAGAGGGAAGCGCGCGAGAAGGAAAAGGAGAAGGAGAAAGACAGAGAAAAGGAGAAATCTGATAAGGAAAAGAAGTATCGGGATAGGGACAGGTCGAGATCGAGACGCTCAAAATCAAGGTAAAACATTAAGCTACTGTATTTTTTAGAGATGCAGAACGTTAAATGTGCGTGGAAGATGACTGATGACGACTGATTTCATTCATTGCTTTTATTTCTAGATAATGTGAATATTGTTATAGTGATTATGTTGTAAAGTTTGTGCTGAACATTACTTTCGATGAACCGATAACGACATCGCAGAGTCAACCTACTTGACGCCGTTTTTGTTTAGGTCCAGGCAAAGGAAACGGTCTCACGACAGGAAGAGCAAAAAGTCGCGCAGCAGAGAGAGAAGCAACAGCAGAGAGAAGGAGATCAAAAGCAGAGAGAGGAAATCCAAGAGTAGAGACAGAAAATCTAGAAGCAGGGATAGAAAATCCGAGAGCAGAGACGTGGACGCTAAGAGCAAGGATAGGAAGTCGGTTAGCAGGGATAGGAGGTCCAGCAGCCGGGATAAGGCATCAAGCAGGTCAAGGTTAGATTCATCTGTAATATAATTGATGGCTAAAAGTGCAGGATATGGTTCCTTAGCTCATTTTAGGAGGAAAAGTCTATATGAACATATATATGTCTTAAATGTCTCAAATTTTGAGCTACAGGGTGTTACTATTTTAAGAAAAAATTCGTTTTCTTATCATAACTTTAATACATACATTTTTTAATACACGTTTATTAGCTTGACCTGTGTGTATGTAATGAAATCTTTCAGCCTGATTTTCACCAATTTCAAGAAGTCTGATTAACTTAAAAATTTGCACAGACAATACAATAATGTTGGGCAAAAAATGGAATTTCATAATTTTTAAAAATTTGGGTTTTAAAGTTTGGAAAAAATATGTATTTGAGAATTTGCAAGATAATATTCAAATTTCGAGATTTCGAAATATTTTTCAAAATTTCCGAATCCTCAAATTATTTTCCAAAATTCTAATTTTTCTAATAATGTTCAAGTTTAGTTTTTTTTAATTTTCAAATTCTATTTTTTTCCAAGATTGTAAGTTTAGTTCAATTTGCTGATAAGGCTTTTTTTTTTTTACTGATCGAGAGCTTCGTTTTTGGTATATTTTATATTTGACAATAAATCTAAACTTCACTTCCAAATTTTTTCAAATTTCGAGATTCCCATGTTTCTGAAAATTTTCAAATCCTTATTTTCCTAATTTCTCATTTTTCTAAATATTTTCCAAATTTTCAAATCCATTTTTTCGAATTTAATTTTTTTTGAAATTTTTGAATTCCAATTTTTTCCCAAGAAAAGTTTGGGTTTTAAAGTTTGGAAAAAATTTCTATTTGAGAATTTGCAAGATAATATTCAAATTTCGAGATTTCGAAATATTTTTGAAAATTTCCGAATCCTCAAATTACTTTCCAAAATTCTAATTTTTCTAATTATTTTCGAAATGTTCAAATTCAGTTTTTTTTTATTTTCAAATTTTATTTTTTCCAAGATTGTAAGTTTAGTTCAATTTGCTGAAAGGCTTTTTTTTTTGTTTTTTTTTACTGATCAAGAGCTTCGTTTTTTGAAATATTTTATATTTGACAATAAATCTAAACTTCACCTCCAAATTTTTTGAAATTTCGAGATTCCCATGTTTCTGAAAATTTTCAAATCTTTATTTTCCTAATTTCTCATTTTTCTAAATATTTTCCAAATTTTCAAATCCATTTTTTCGAATTTCATTTTTTAAAATTTTTGAAATCTATTTTTTTTCGAAATGTAAGTTTTTAGTTTAATTTTCTAACAAAGCACTTTTAGTTATTTTTAACTGATCAAGAGCTTCGATTTTTGGTATATTGTATATTTGACAATCTAAACTCACAATTTTTTTAAATTTCGAGATTCACATGTTTCTGAAAATTTTCAAATTATTTTCCTAATTTCTTATTTTTCTAAATATTTTTCAAATCCATTTTTTCGAATTTAATTTTTTTTGAAATTTTTGAATTCTAATTTTTTCCCAAGAAAAATTTGGGTTTTAAAGTTTGGAAAAAATTTCTATTTGAGAATTTGCAAGATAATATTCAAATTTCGAGATTTCGAAATATTTTTCAAAATTTCCGAATCCTCAAATTATTTTCCAAAAATCTAATTTATTCTAATTATTTTCGAAATGTCAGTTTTTTTTAATTTTCAAATTTTATTTTTTCCAAGATTGTAAGTTTAGTTCAATTTGCTGATAAGGCTTTTTTTTTGTTTTTTTTTTACTGATCGAGAGCTTCATTTTTTGATATATTTTATATTTGACAATAAATCTAAACTTCATATCCAAATTTTTTTAAATTTCGAGATTCCCATGTTTCTGAAAATTTTCAAATCTTTATTTTCCTAATTTCTCTTTTTTTAACTAAATATTTTCCAAATTTTCAAATCCATTTTTTCGAATTTCATTTTTTTTTAAATTTTTGAATTCTAATTTTTTCCCAAGATTGTAAGTTTTTAGTTTGACTTGATAATGAAGCGTTTTTCTTTTACTAATCAAGAGCTTAGATTTTTGGTATATTTTATATTTGACAATAAATCTAAATTCTCTTAAAAATTTTATCAAATCTCGGAATTCCCAAATGTTTTTCAAAATTTCCTAATCTTCAAATTGTTTTCCAAACTTCTTATTATTTCAACTATTTTCCAAATTTACAAATCCATTTTTTTTATTATTTTTCAATTTTTTCAACTGATCAATAGCTTCGATTTTTGGTATATTGCATATTTGACAATAAATTTAAACGCGCTTCAAAATTTTTTTAAATTTCGAGATTCCCATGTTTCTGAAAATTTTCAAATCTTCTAATTATTTTTTTAAATATTTTCCAAATTTTTAAATCCATTTTTTCGAATTTCATTTTATTTTAAAATTTTCGAATTCTAATTTTTTCCCAAGATTGTAAATTTTTAGTTTGACTTGATAATGAAGCGTTTTTTTTTACTAATCAAGAGCTTAGATTTTTGGTATATTTTATATTTGACAATAAATCTAAATTCTCTTAAAAATTTTACCAAATCTCGGAATTCCCAAATGTTTTTCAAAATTTCCTAATCTTCAAATTGTTTTCCAAACTTCTTATTATTTCAACTATTTTCCAAATTTACAAATCCATTTTTTTTATTATTTTTCAATTTTTTCAACTGATCAATAGCTTCGATTTTTGGTATATTGCATATTTGACAATAAATTTAAACGCGCTTCAAAATTTTTTTAAATTTCGAGATTCCCATGTTTCTGAAAATTTTCAAATCTTCTAATTATTTTTTAAATATTTTCCAAATTTTTAAATCCATTTTTTCGAATTTCATTTTATTTTAAAATTTTCGAATTCTAATTTTTTCCCAAGATTGTAAGTTTTTAGTTTGACTTGATAATGAAGCGTTTTTTTTACTAATCAAGAGCTTAGATTTTTGGTATATTTTATATTTGACAATAAATCTAAATTCTCTTAAAAATTTTATCAAATCTCGGAATTCCCAAATGTTTTTCAAAATTTCCTAATCTTCAAATTGTTTTCCAAACTTCTCATTATTTCAACTATTTTCCAAATTTACAAATCCATTTTTTTTTATTATTTTTCAATTTTTTCAACTGATCAAGAGCTTCGATTTTTGGTATATTGCATATTTGACAATAAATTTAAACGCGCTTCAAAATTTTTTAAATTTCGAGATTCCCATGTTTCTGAAAATTTTCAAATCTTCTAATTATTTTTTGAAATATTTTCCAAATTTTTAAATCCATTTTTTTCGAATTTCATTTTATTTTAAAATTTTCGAATTCTAATTTTTTCCCAAGATTGTAAGTTTTTAGTTTGACTTGATAATGAAGCGTTTTTTTTTACTAATCAAGAGCTTAGATTTTTGGTATATTTTATATTTGACAATAAATCTAAATTCTCTTCAAAATTTTATCAAATCTCGGAATTCCCAAATGTTTTTCAAAATTTCCTAATCTTCAAATTGTTTTCCAAACTTCTTATTATTTCAAATATTTTCCAAATTTACAAATCCATTTTTTTTATTATTTTTCAATTTTTCAACTGATCAAGAGCTTCGATTTTTGGTATATTGTATATTTGACAATAAATTTAAACGCGCTTCAAAATTTTTTTAAATTTCGAGATTCCCATGTTTCTGAAAATTTTCAAATCTTCTAATTATTTTTTTAAATATTTTCCAAATTTTTAAATCCATTTTTTCGAATTTCATTTTATTTTAAAATTTTCGAATTCTAATTTTTTTCCAAGATTGTAAATTTTTAGTTTGACTTGATAATGAAGCGTTTTTTTTTACTAATCAAGAGCTTAGATTTTTGGTATATTTTATATTTGACAATAAATCTAAATTCTCTTAAAAATTTTACCAAATCTCGGAATTCCCAAATGTTTTTCAAAATTTCCTAATCTTCAAATTGTTTTCCAAACTTCTTATTATTTCAACTATTTTCCAAATTTACAAATCCATTTTTTTTATTATTTTTCAATTTTTTCAACTGATCAATAGCTTCGATTTTTGGTATATTGCATATTTGACAATAAATTTAAACGCGCTTCAAAATTTTTTTAAATTTCGAGATTCCCATGTTTCTGAAAATTTTCAAATCTTCTAATTATTTTTTTAAATATTTTCCAAATTTTTAAATCCATTTTTTCGAATTTCATTTTATTTTAAAATTTTCGAATTCTAATTTTTTCCCAAGATTGTAAGTTTTTAGTTTGACTTGATAATGAAGCGTTTTTTTTACTAATCAAGAGCTTAGATTTTTGGTATATTTTATATTTGACAATAAATCTAAATTCTCTTAAAAATTCTATCAAATCTCGGAATTCCCAAATGTTTTTCAAAATTTCCTAATCTTCAAATTGTTTTCCAAACTTCTTATTATTTCAACTATTTTCCAAATTTACAAATCCATTTTTTTTATTATTTTTCAATTTTTTCAACTGATCAAGAGCTTCGATTTTTGGTATATTGCATATTTGACAATAAATTTAAACGCGCTTCAAAATTTTTTTAAATTTCGAGATTCCCATGTTTCTGAAAATTTTCAAATCTTCTAATTATTTTTTTAAATATTTTCCAAATTTTTAAATCCATTTTTTTCGAATTTCATTTTATTTTAAAATTTTCGAATTCTAATTTTTTCCCAAGATTGTAAGTTTTTAGTTTGACTTGATAATGAAGCGTTTTTTTTACTAATCAAGAGCTTAGATTTTTGGTATATTTTATATTTGACAATAAATCTAAATTCTCTTCAAAATTTTATCAAATCTCGGAATTCCCAAATGTTTTTCAAAATTTCCTAATCTTCAAATTGTTTTCCAAACTTCTTATTATTTCAAATATTTTCCAAATTTACAAATCCATTTTTTTTATTATTTTTCAATTTTTTCAACTGATCAAGAGCTTCGATTTTTGGTATATTGTATATTTGACAATAAATTTAAACGCGCTTCAAAATTTTTTAAATTTCGAGATTCCCATGTTTCTGAAAATTTTCAAATCCATTTTTTCGAATTTCATTTTATTTTAAAATTTTCAAATTCTAATTTTTTCCCGAGATTGTAAGTTTTTAGTTTGACTTGATAATGAAGCGTTTTTTTGACAATAAATCTAAATTCTCTTCAAAATTTCCTAATCTTCAAATTGTTTTCCAAACTTCTTATTATTTCAACCATTTTCCAAATTTACAAATCCATTTTTTTTATTATTTTTCAATTTTGGAAGTTTTTAGTTCGATTTTCTAATAAAGCGTATTTTTTTTAGTTTTTTATCAATTAAAATAAAGTAAAATATTAACAAAATTCATTCATAGCATTTTTTTATCTTAATTTTTATATTGAATAAATCAACCAAACTTGATTTTTGTTGGACTTTCTATTGCAGTAACACAAACACTCATATACTTGAAAATTAATTTATACTTTATAGTTCGATTTGCTATTAAAGTATGTTTTTTAGTTTTTTTTAATTATAATTTATTTTCAAATAGATACATTTTCCGAAAAACTATGTACCGAGACTTTTAATAACGTCATAAAGATGAATGAGCACGTATGATACTTTTGATATTACATATACGCTTATCTGTTTACTTATTTCCCTTTTGGTATTTTTCACATCACACGCTTGCATTTATACGAAAACTATTGCGTCCGATTTTCAATTAGGTCCAGATCTGCTGATAAAGACGCGAAGAACAACGGGACCATCAGTCCAGAGCAGAGAGAGACGAACCACAGAAGCGGCTCAGAACCCATAGAGGCGAATGGCATTAGCTCAAAGAAGTGAGTAATTTCATATAGTTACACATACATGAAGGTTATAAAGGTGGTTCATAATGTTATTCAAATCTATTTCGCAAATTAATCAGTAGAATTTTCAAAATGAATTTTTTGAACACTTGAAACTACGAAATCAACATTGTATTTGCATCTTTTTGCGGTTTTTGGCGATTACGTCGCAATATGATACTGAATAAGTAAAAAAATAGACACTGGCCTTCAGTTGCTATCCTTCTCGTCATTTTTAAAAATGGGCACCACTCTTGCAAATTTTGAATGACTGACTTTGATTCAAGCAATGACAAGTTTTTTTCAGCAAGAACTAATAAATTATTAGAAATGTCACATCTATGCCATCTGGGTTAGACCTTTTCAAACTCATTGTTATATTATAAATATGTTCTGCAGAAACTGAACTACATAGTGTCATAAATTTGGTCACATCTGAATTGGACCTCAATTTCTTTAATGTGATATGTATTTTCAGTTTTTTCGGAATCCCTACAAAAAAGTCATGTCACTTGATTTTATTTCTCTTTTATCATACATTCTGTTTATTATTTGCCAAACACTTTTACCTTTGTTATGTGATGTTTCATACTATCTTGTTTACCAAAAGTTCTTGCAGCCTCGAAAAACTTATTGTATCTATACAAAAACTCTATAAAGATTTTTTAGCGTCTGCGCAGATATATCTATTTAATACTTGACTGTATTAATGAATGTTTCAAATCCCAGATTCACATGACTCTATTCATAAACTGGGCTCCTATTTTCATTTCTTGTGTAATGAAAATTTGCTAGATGAACTTTTGTAATGACGTTGACGGGAATTTATAACGAAGATCAACAAAATGTAAACCCACACCTTCCTGCCAAGCAGGTTGCTATAAAAACAAGCTCTAAAATTGACGCGCGGAGTAGCAGTGGTGCTTTGACAGGGTTGCCAAGTTGGGGGATTTTCCCTCAAATTTGGGGAGTTTTTAGTTGGGGATATGTAATTTATATTTGAAATTATTTTTTGTAATTTTACTGTGACCTAGCAAAAACCGTGAAAAGATGTGATTGAACATTCGGCAATAATTACTAAATATTTTTAATCTAAACCTAATGCTAGGGAGAAAGATCGTGACGGGCTTTCTCACTGTTTCTGTCTATGTGTTTCAGATCGAGGAGTTTATCAATAAATTGTTTGTATTTTTCTTCGGATCCTTACAAAATTAAGTTTTAATAAATTTGCATGCTTATATTATGAAAGTGTCATTTGAACAACTTTATCGTCAATGTCAAGATTAGAACACTTTTTGGATATTGGATTGTGAAGAACCAAAAGAAAATTAAAAGTTTAGAAAAACGACCAGAGAAGCTCAAATGGCACTTTCCTGACTCTGCTCGAGAGAGTTTATCATTGGTTATATGGCCACCTGTTAGATAAATAGTGATTATAATTGAATCAACAATTGCATAATTGATATTTACATTTGGATTGTTGTGCTTATGAGTTTCAGCAATTTCAGAATATAACAGAGGAATGGAGTATTCATACTAGTGGATTTATAAAAAACGTGTTTTTTTTCCTAACAGAAGAAGCACCACAGGTTAACCTGCGATATTTTAACGATTACCTCAGGTCGCACTTTTTTGATCACTTTATAATATTTACATTCTTTTCATTCTATAAATGGTATTTTTTATGGATGTCTGTCAAGTTCTTGGTTTTAAGGAACTCGATTTACATGTACTTTGGGAAATAATGTGAAAATGTATTATGTATAACATTTCTTCGCACAACATCAATGTGGATCACACAGCATCTCATTGAAAAATGGTTGCTTGATACATTGATAAAATTGATACCAATATTGAAACCAATGATGGCTTCATCAATGGACGAAAGAATACTCGTTTATTTTTCTCATTTTATACTAAAAATGAATCTCTTTCAGGTACCATAAGGTAGGTTAATGACTTATTCTTAATCCTAGGGCTGTAGGATGGTAGTCAAACTGATCCTGTTACCTTTTGTTTTTGAGCGTATTTACAAGGCTGATATGAACTCGTGGGGCTTGTAATTTACAGTTGTGCGACTTTAAATGAGGTTAATCCACGAAAACATCATTCTCGCGTCACGTGAACTCACGAGCCTTTTTCCAGACTCGCGTATTGAAATGTAGATTGATGGATAATTAAAAAAATCTGTCCTCTCGGAAACTGCTATCTTCACTAAAACTAAGAGCTAACATTTTGATATAGGTAAACAAAAACAAAGATAAATCGTTAATATTGTTGCCACTTCATCCTATAAATACAGGCTGTAAATGTTATGTCATTATTTAAATGGGTGATAGAGGGGTTAAAAGGACCAAAAAGTTTCATATAACATGGGGATCAAAACGCCCAAATATTTATTTTAAAACGTTGTTGGAAATGACCTTCACGTATGAGGATTTTCTTGGGCCCACGTGTATTATGGAAATTTAATATCCCGTGTCGCGTAAAAGTAAAGGGTTGTCCAATAGGGACACAGGAAAGTAAACGTCAATTTGACATAGACGCCATCTTTGTTTTCTGTCACCGACATGTCATTTTGTTAGTTGAATGTTTACCATTGATCGCTATGGAGTCGTATTCGATTGAAGACCGCATTAAAGTTATTCAAATGGTGCAAAAATAAAAAAACACGTTTCGCGCGCTTCGTGAACATTTCGGTCGCAACAACCGTCCAAACGAAACAACCATCGGTCGTCTGGAGCGTAAATTCGAGGCAACAGGTTCTGTGGCAAATCTGCCAGGCTCTGGCCGGCCAAGGAGCGTTCGCACACCGGAAAATATTGCTGTTGTGAAGGAGAGTGTGAGAGACGATCCGAAACAATCAACAACGCGTCGATCCCAAGAATTGGTCATTTCGAGAACCAGTTTGCTCCGCATTCTCCACAAGGATTTGAATGTACACGCCTACAAGATCCAATTGACGCAAGAGCTGCGTCGGGTCGACCATTTTTCGCGCCGAACGTTCTCAGATTGGCTCCTTGAACACCGCCAAATTGATGCCAATTTTTCATCAAAAATCATGTTCAGCGACGAAGCGCATTTCACTTTGAATGGGATGGTAAACAAGCATCTGGGCGAACGAAAATCCCCGTAAGTATCAAGAGCAGCCGATGCATCCTCAAAAAGTGACTGTGTGGTGTGCATTGTGGTCAAAATGCATCATCGGACCTTACTTTTTCGAAAATGCGGCCGGGGACGCCGTTACCGTCAATTCTGAGCGATATCACGCGATGATAGCGGACTATTTTTTGCCGCAACTTGAAGGAATGGATATGGACGATGTTTATTTCCAACAAGACGGTGCAACATGCCACACAACCAACGTCAATATCCATCGATTGCAGTCCTTCTTCGGTGATCGCGTGATTTCGCGCAGAGGAAATGTGCCATGGCCACCAAGATCGTGCGATTTGACTCCCTTGGACTTCTTTTTATGGGATATTTGAAAAGCAAAGTCTACGTCAACAAACCAGCCACCCTCCAAGAACTCAAAAACAACATCATTGCCGAGATAAATGCCATAGAACCGACCATGTTGCAAAATATCATTGAAAATTTCGACCATCGCGTGGACGTCTGTACCAGTCGTGGTGAACATTTGAGCGATATTATTTTTCATACTTAAATGGTTTAAATGAACCTTCAAAATAAAGTACCCAAGTTGATTTGAATATCAATCTTTCTTGTTTTAAAAAAATCCGGATTTTCAATGTCTTTGTGCAAAAACCACTGACAGAACGTTAGCCTGCGAGGATAGTCTTCTGGTAACAAGGCCTGCACTCGTTTCCACGATATTTAAAATTTGTTCCTCCTGCTCTACAGTAACCTGTCTTTCACCAGTGCGAATATTAGTGGGCTGAACAATTCCTCTATCTCGAAGTCTTTGGTATGCTCGCACAAATGTCCTGTCTGGGTGTGACCGTTGGCGAAATCTGTCGCGATATATTTTTTAGCTGCAAGATTTAAATTCTGACGAGCTTCACCGTAAACTAACAACACGTCGGCGAACTCTTGATTCGAGAGCATTGTAAATAAACACGACGACGTACGCGAACAAAAACAAAACGACACGCCCGATGCTCGGCTCGACAAAACGATAAAGTAAATTTATCTATGCAAAACGATAACTAACCACTGTTACCGTTTGCGATCGATTGCCGGTTCGATAAGAGTGATGAAACACCGACGCGCTGTTGTCATTTGTGTTTTAAATATTTAATTTAATGAAACTTACTAACTACAAATTTTGGCGTAACTTAGAAAAACTTAATGCCATTTATTTGTTAATTACCCAATTTAAAAACGTCTTAGATTAGATTATAAAAATTAGTAAGATTGTGGTCGATATAAAGCACTTAAGTTGTAAACTATAAAGCCGTTTAGACAAGAATCTATTGGCTCTTGAACCATGGGTCATATGAACTTTTTGGCTTGTTTTGAACTCCCCCCTATTACCAATTACAGTAATGACTACCAAAACGTTTAGTCATTATGTTGCAAAAAAAAAGAACAAGTTGAGGAAATTATTTTTTCTGGGTGTAACACTTCTAGAGTTACTTTCCTTTGAGCAAGCGGAACTCCACATATTGCGATTTTACGTTGTCTCTAGCTTGTGTGTTTGCGCGACGTGACACTTTGCGTTCTTAAGTTCATGTGGGTTTCAATTATTGGCTAGATTAGGTGCGAAATATATGTTCTACAACTGCATATATACCTTCTTTTTTGTAATCTACTAATACTTTGATCTTTTCAGTCTGTATGAATATCTTTTTGTTAGGGTTGTTGTGGAACCGTCGAGTATAAATCCTCTTATGTGAATTATTATTTATCTAGTGGCCATATGACCGATGGTGCGTAAACGCTTTCGAGCACGACTGCGGCGGCCGCGGCCCACTTCAGCGCTGGTGGCCAGTCAGTCAGTCAAGTCAAACAGTCAGTCAGCACCATCGCCTTGTTTAATACCATCCACCGGGTGTTCTCCACACACACACACAGTTCCACGAGCGGCGGTACGTCCCTTCCGGTCAGCAAGCTGCAGGCCAAGTTGATGTCGCTCGCCGAGAATAAGAAACTGACGCGCTCGAGGTCACGCTCCAGATCGAGATCACGCACGCACAGCAGGTCTAGGTCGGCGTCGGCGAAGAAGTCCCCGGTCAAGAAAGGTCGAAGAGGCGGCAGCCGCTCCGGAGCCAGCAGAAGCAGGAGTCGGAGCAGGAGCAATTCGGGTTCGCCTGTCAAAGAGAAACGCAGGAGAGGATCGTCGAGGAGGTCGAGCAGGTCCGCTTCGCCGGCCAAGGAGGATTTCGAGATCAGGAAGAAAGAGGACAGTGTGCAGAAGAAACGGCATTACAGGTAGGGTCGCGTGTGTGTGGTAGGTGTGGTGCGGCGGAACGGCGACAGTGCATATCACGTCGGCAGGTGTGATCGGTAAGAAAGAAAAGGTGACATCCTAAAGTTTCTGGTATACATAGGAATGCCGTCGTTCTTTTTTGTGATAGTCTAGCTAGAGCTTTTTTACTAATTACAGTAGTAGTAGCAGCAGTTGTGCGGACCTTTTTGCCTACCCCATAGTACTATCAACAAGCTATCTACTGTTAACTGATTATTCAATAAATTAGCGCCAGCAATGTGATGTACCTATGTTGATCTTGCACCGATCTGGTGTGTGATACAGACAACACGCCACTCAACATACATGGCTGAGAGTTAAGTTAGGAGACGGTGCTTCCAATTTCCTGAGAGTCACAGTAAATTTTTGTATTATTGTAAGGTAGTGATGACATAAAGAGTTACTTAGAATAACAGTCTAAACCGTTATTGTTATCCATCAATAACCGTTATTCAGTTAATGGCAATTATGTACCTTTAAATCACAACATTATCGATTTCTGCAGTTGCTTCCTCCAATCTTCTCTACTGATACGATAAAATTAAATAACAAGTAATTAAATGCGTGTATCAGAAGTGGCGCGCAAATTAAATCAGTCAGTTATACAGGGTGACTTCGAAGTTGAGTCATTTATTTTAACAGTGAGTAGATCTGATCAGAAGAAATGTTTTTTTCCTTTACCATTTTTCTGGTAAAATTAAAGTAACAAAGTTATAGCCCTTTGGAAGTTTGAGTACCGCCCTGTCTCAATAATAATATCACGTGCTCGTGTTTGGCAACAACGGATATAATCCGCCTTATCGGTTCATCGCATCGGAAACAAAAAAGCGAAAGAATTTGGAACGATGTTTTTACAATTATTTTATTCAGTTCAGTTATACATACAGTCAGTGTCAGTCGGTACTGCGTGTGAATAGTGTCTGTTGCGTGGCTCAAACGAAATAAAAAATGGCACATGTTTATGCGGATCGGTTTCCCAATCGAGTGCAACCAACCCCTCGTGCCTTTGTTAATGTAGTACAACGGGCTCGTGAATCAGGTGACTTAAGACCTCACAGGGGACCTCACGATCAAATACAGGTCCGCACTGAAATACTTGTCGGGAGGATACTTTATAAAACAAGGTAAAGTTTTTTATTTTATTTTTACACACATATTTTGGTTTATCTTCCTTCTACAATCATTATCTGAAAATTAAGGACTCAACTTCAAAGTCACCCTGTATATTGGCCACCCTGTATTAATCGTAGTCAAATATGTGGTACTCATTCATTTTTATGTTCATTTTTGTTGATGAATTAAGTTTTTAATAAAAATTTAATAAGAATGATATACAAAACATGAACGTTGTCCAACGCAACATTATTTAGTGTAGTGTTAGTTTAAAAAAAAAATCAATATATTAATATACTAACATCAAAAAATTTAGTTATAACATCATTTTAATGAATAATTCTGCAGACTTTTTTCACACAAATACAAACTATCTTTTCTTCTCATATTCTCTCAGCTATTGATTTAGCTTGTTTGTTTCCTCTTTAACATCACAAAATTCAAAACGTATCGATGGTAACTAATTCAGGATTTTCACCATTCTCTTATTTTTTTCTGGTACGAGTAATTTGATGATGTGGATTCTTCAGGTCGATTAACAATTATTTGCGTTATGAGTATTCGTTGTTCGACATACTGGGATGTCAGAAGTTATTTTTCACGCAATATGATCCCACGTCTCTTACACGTAGAACATATTATTCACGTAGATCAAACAAAGACAGCTCAGATAGCGAACCGGAAGGTGGCAAGAGGAGGAGATCAAGATCCAGATCGAGAAAGAGGGACTCGAGTCCTTATAGGGGTAAGAAGAGGAGCGCGTCGCCCAGAAAGAGATCAGGCAGCAGGAAGAGAAGCCTTAGCAGAAGGTACAATAAGTGAATTATTTTCGAATCGAATCGGAATGTTTGTAAATTTTCGAGCAAAAACTTCTCATGGGCTCCTATCAATCCTATAAAGCGTTTTCAGGATATACACGGCGTCCCAAACATGCAAGAACGGAGTATTCTTCTGAATGAAGAAAACTATTTATGGTATCCGAGGACACATTTCTAAAATACTCTCAACTTTACAGGCTGTCCCAATTTTGCTCCACATCAAAGTATTTTTTTAAATGAAGGCCGTACTTTTTTTACACTCTCTGATAGGCCTTTTAAAATATGACCAGCATGGTATGGAACAAATTACCTGAAATATTTACTTTAACCTTTATGGTCATGGAAACAAGTGTCTTGACCTGAAGGTTGAGGTCAAGGTTAATCATTTTGAAGTTGAACTTTTTTGTGTCGCTTTTCACAAGAATTAAATAAAGTTTATTGATCACACCCACATCACTTAGACTATCAAGATCTCGTCATGTTAAATTTTCAAGTCGTCAGCAAAAAATATTAATCCAATCTAGACGCAAGTGGAACGAATGTTTGACTTTCCCGTCTAATCACGAATAACTACACTTAGACGCAGCCTGTCGCGGGGCAGGCGCAGCCGCAGCAGAAGGCGCAGCTTGTCACGTGGTCGCCAAAGCCCGGTGCGAAGACGGCGCAGTCGCAGCAGGAGTCGCAGCAGCAGACCGCGCAGGCGCAGCAGTCCGAGAAGGCGGAGCAGCCCGAGGAGACGCAGCCCCAGGAGGAGGAGCAGGAGCATCAGCAGGCCGCCGCCGCCAGGGTATGATGTTCTTTTGTCAGGAAAATTGTTTTTACACAGTGGCAGAATTCCTTTATTTATTTCCAACAGGTGAAACCCAATTACAGGAAACGCTGAAAAAAATAACAATTAAAGAGACATGGTTCTTGGACTTAAATCTATAGTATCACACATTCTAAATAAGATTGGATGATCTATAGCAGTTAATAATCGAAATTACTTTGAACGAAGTCAATAAATAAAGCTGTACTGCAAAACTTTTACTGTACCGTGTATTCGGTGCAATAAATCCTTTCAAATTATTTTCCAGCCGTTTCAGTCGCCGACGCAGCCGCAGCCGCGGACGCCCGGTGCCGCTGCCCGCCTACCGGCGGCCTTCGCCGCCCCCGCGCCGTCGCTCCAGGTCGCGAGATCGCCGCTCCCGTTCCCGCAGACGGTTCTCGCACGAACGACCGGTCAGTCCGCGCAGGCGTTCGTCGCCGCCGCCTTCGAGGAGGCGGTCGTCGCCCGTCAGGGACCTCTCGAGGAAGGACAGGGAACTGGCCGAGGAGAGGATGCGCGAGCGGTTGAGAGAACGCGAGGCGAAGCAGAGGAAAGAGGAGGCGGAGAGGGAGAAGGAGCGCGAGAAGAAGCAGGAACAGTCCAAGAAGATGGAGGAGGCGAAGAGGAAGATCGAGGAGGAGTTGCAGAGGTAACGGTTTTGAAGTGAATGTTTTTTTGAGGTAACATATTGATGATAAATATTCAGGTTGATTTAAATGCAGTGGTCGACAGCTTAGAACATTATTTTAAATAGAAAGGGGGGGGGTCTGCGATACTTCTCAATTTTTTGGCACTATACAATCTCGACGTTTTTTTTAACAACGTTTTAATCAGCTTGACTTGCATGTATGTAATGGAAGCGTTCAACCTAATTTTCACCAATCTCTGATTAAATAAAAAATTTGCGCAGGGGTGATGGGTCGATGACAATAATCTTGGAAAAAAATCGTATTTCAGAATTTCTAGAAAATTGGCAATTTGGAAAATAATCCGGATTTGAAAATTCTGAAGAAAATGGAAAATTTGGGAATTTCGAGATTTTTAAAAAAAATGTAAATTTTGATAAAATATTGGAATTCTTCAAATTTGGAAGGAAACTTTGTATTTGAAAATCCAAAGTACTTTTGTTGTCGTTTTGAGTCTGAAAATTCAGAAAATAAATTATAATTTAAAAAACTAAAAAATAAAATCTTGGCAAAAATAGAATTTGGGAACTTTTAAAAACGAAAAAGGATTCGAGGATCTTTCAACTTGATTTCCACCAATTCCAAGAAATCTGATTAACTGCAAAATGTGCCTAGGGATCAAGGGCCAATGACCTGGAAATTCTGAAGAAAATGGAAAATTTTTGGAAAATTTGATAAAATATTGGGATTTCTCGAAGTTGGAAATAAAATTTGTAATTAAAAATTAAAAGTACGTTTGTTGCCGTTTTGTGTCTCTAAATTCAGAGAATAAATTATAGTTTGAAAAAACGCTTTAATAGCAAATTGTACAAAAAAATACAATCTTGGAAAAAATTAGAATTTGAGAATGTAACAAACAAAATTTGAAAAAAAAGATTCAAGAATCTTTTAACTTGATTTCCACCAATTCCAAGAAATCTGATTAACTGGAAAATGTGCCTAGGAATCAAGGGCCAATGACCTGGAAATTCTGAATACAATGAAAAATTTTGTAAATTTCGAATTGTTTAATAAAATTGGAAATATTGATTAAAATATTGGGATTTTTCAAATTTGGAAATAAAATTTGTAATTAAAAATTAAAAGTACTTTTGTTGCCGTTGTGAGTCTGAAAATTCGGAAAATAAATTATAGTTTGAAAAAACTAAAAAAAGCTTCACAAAAAACACAAAATTTTGAAAAAAATTGAATTTGAAATTGTAAAAAACGAAATTTGAAAAAAGGATTCGAGGATCTTTCAACTTGATTTCCACCAATTCCAAGAAATCTGATTAACTGGAAAATGTGTCCAGGGATCAAGGGCCAATGATCTGGAAATTCTGAAGAAAATGGAAAATTTTTGGAAATTTTCAATAAAATGGAAATTTTGATAAAATATTGGGATTTTTCAAATCTGGAAATGAAATTTGTAATTAAAAATTATTAGTACTTTTGTTGCCGTTTTGAGTCTGAAAATTCAGAAAATAAATTATAGTTTGAAAAAACTAAAAAACGCTTCAATAGCAAATCGAACAAAAAAATACAATTTTGAAAAAATAGAATTTGAGATTGTAAAAAACGAAATTTGAAAAAAAGGATTCGAGGATCTTTCAACTTGATTTCCACCAATTCCAAGAAATCTGATTAACTGGAAAATGTGTCCAGGGATCAAGGGCCAATGATCTGGAAATTCCGAAAACAATGGAAAATTTCGAAATTTTCAAAAAAAATTTGATAAAATAATGGGATTTTTCAAATTTAGATATAAAATTTGTAATTAAAAATTAAAAGTACTTTTTTTGCCGTTTTGAGTCTGAAAATTCAGAGAATAAATTACAGTTTGAAAAAAACGCTTTAATAGCAAATTGAACAAAAAAATACAATCTTGGAAAAAATTAGAATTTGAGAATGTAAAAAACGAAATTTGAAAAAAGGATTCGAGGATCTTTCAACTTGATTTCCACCAATTCCAAGAAGTCTGATTAACTGGAAAATGTGTCCAGGGATCAAGGGCCAATGATCTGAAAATTCTGAAGAAAATGGAAAATTTTTGGAAATTTTGAAATTTTCAATAAAATGGAAATTTTGGTAAAATATTGAGATTTTTCAAATCTGGAAATGAAATTTGTTATAAAAAATTATTAGTACTTTTGTTGCCGTTTTGAGTCTGAAAATGCAGAAAATAAATTATAGTTTGAAAAAAAAAAAATAAAAATGGGTGGACAAAACGTGCTGTTATGTCTTCTAGTTCCTTATCCAGCGTATTCTTGAACAAATTGACAGCTGTTGCACCCACTGTTTCTCCACTAAGCGAGCTCCTCGTGTAAACCACACGATTTGAAATGAAATTTCTCCTTAACACCTTAGGTGCTCTGCATCTTCTAATTCCTAATAAACTGACAAAATTATCTGCAACGATCTGTCAATTCACAGATACGAAAAGCGAGAACGGGAAGAAGCGGAACGAGTCGTGAAAAAGAAATCCTCCGAGTCCGAGTCGAAATCGAAAGATAAGAGCGAGAAGAGAAGGAGTAAATCCCGCAGCGGCAGTCCTCAAAAGAGCTACCCTATCCCCCCGTTCGGTCCTCCCAGGTACTCCAGAAGCCTATCCAGGACACCGTCGCCGTTCATCAAGGCACACGAGTTCCCACCCAATAAGGCTAAAGTTGTAGCTCCGGTTAGTATAACATTTAGTTTAGTTTTTCGACGTCTATTTACTAAATAATTTTATATAATTTTTAATAATGATCCTTCAAAACCATGTGATGTAATTTCATTCCTCATTGCGTTGCGTTATTGCTGTGTGATTATACAACTACAAGACTGGTATTGTGTCTGTCGGCTTTAGGTGGTTGTTAAAGAAGATAAAAAGAAACCCCACAAAGAGAAGACCGAAGTCAAAACGAAAAAACCTGTCAAGAAGCCTCCGAAGAGCGAGTCGGACTCTGATTCTTCCGATTCTGAGAGCGAGGAAGAGAAACCAAAAGAGAAGAGGAAAGTTAAAACCAAGAAGGTAATTTGAGGCGGATTTATGGCAATATTTTTTCTCTTTATACTCATTTTTAGTATTTTTTTCGTAAATTACTCATTTGAAAAGTTGAAATCAAGAAGGTAAGTTGGGGGCTGATTTACTGCAAATGTTTTTCTTTTTTTTTAAAATTTCTCTCATTTTTACTCATTTTTTTTAAGGTACTCATTTTTAGCATCTTTTTCATAAATTACTCATTTATCTTATTTATTTTTTGGACGTTCCGCAATAGAATTCTAAATTGTCCCTAAATCGAAAATCAAAGATATCGACGGATTAAGATCGTACGTCCTTTTTTTCCGCTTTTTTCCACTACCTGAAACCGACTAAAAACATCGTTTTCAATTTTGTTTTGTCATAAAATGAATTTTTGTGGATTTTTTCCTCGATCATAACTTACTAACAAATATTAGTACAGCTCTGAAATTGTATGTGAATATTCCACTTTTTATTCTTATCACTTCTTCTCAAAACTCAACTTGCTGCTAGCCGAGACTTCAAGAAAATCAAAGGTTTATCGAAAAGAAGAAAAGTAATCACTTGTTTCATTCTTACATAAAAGAGGAATATTCACGCACAATTTCAGAGCTGTACTTATATCTGTTAACAAGTTGCGATTGCAGAAAAAATGGAGAAAAATTGTATTTTTCGCCAAAGAAGTTGTTTTAGTAAGAGCCTTAATGTTTCTTCTCGTGAGACATTCTAAATTCTGAAACGATGTTTTTATTGTCGATATTTTTAGCTTTATTTTTGGTACAGGTGAAGAAGAGGGATACAAGTTCTAGTGACAGCGACGATGATGACGATCGTTCGTCTAGAGGACGAAAGGAAAAGAGCAGCAGCCCTGAGGTTGAAGTCAAACCAAAGAAAAAAGACAAGAAAAAGAAAGGTAGCAGCGAAGAAAGATCGGCGAACGATAAGAAGAAGCGTCATCAGAGTTCCGACTCCGAGGAAGATAAAAAGGTATTCTACATAAGCTAGATATAGTTTGTTCATGAGGAGTTTTACAACAATATGTTAGCACCCCGAAAATATTTTTGCATTTGAGTTTATTTATAAGTTCTTCAAAAAAAATCTGATGTCACAAATGGGGGAGATTCAGATTTTTGCAGCTTTAGTAGTCTTCCAGTTTTTTGGACGCCTTGTGGAACTGTGATAAAGTGATAATTATCTGCAGGTGAAGAGAAAACGGCGCTCAGTGAGCTCCGAGAAGACGAAGAAATCAAAGAAGGATTCGAGTGACAGTGACACCGCACCTAAAAAGAAGAAACGTCAACAACAGGATAGCTCCGATGATTCGGACGAGAAGGAAGTATCAAAATCCAAAAGGAAAAAGGTAAGTGCTGCCGAAATTCGTTCGGTTAAAAAACTTTTATAACAAAAAAAAATAATGCTAGGTAAAACAGCAGCCAAAACTTTAATTTCGTGAGTAAATCTTCATCACCCTCTATCTCTGTAGGGGAGCATCTTTGGGCCCGTATTTATAGGAACTTTTTTTTGTTGATTTTGGATGTAATTTCTACCCTAAAAACACCATTTGAAACGGACATTGCGATGGTGATATTCTGGAATCTCATAAACAGGGCGGAGACAGCTCTTCGGACAGCGACGATGACGGATCGTCGAGTACGAAGAAGAAGAAGCAACACAGGAAACGGGCCAAATCCGGCAGCGACTCGGACGAAGAGGTAGACAGCAAGAAACGGAAGAAGGACAAGAAGCATAAGAAAAAGAAGAAACATTCGAAGAAGCATAAGAAACACAAGAAACGGAAGCAGGTAATATCGAAAATTCATATATGATAATAATTTTTTTTCCAAATCAATAATCATAAATACATAATACTATTGTTGTTTCGAAAATAAGGTTCCTAAATTGAAAAAACGAATTTACCATTGGAAACCTTGATCTTTAAGCTATTTGTTTACATAGTCGCCATTTTTTCCACGCATTTTTTAGACGTACCTAATATCGAACACATCTGGAACTACTGAACAGTTTTAATAAATTTTTGCATAGCACAGTTGGCATCCTGGAGTAACAAAAATGCTTATTCAAATAGCTTATTTCTCTGTTTATGTTTCGCAAAGGGTCACGAGACTTTCAAAATTTCTAACGTATCGTGTTAAAACTTCTAGTACTTGTATAATAATAAATGTCTTTACAATTTCTAAAAATATACATGGTCTCCCATTTTGATCTCTAAATATTTCGAAAACTGTGCATTCTAGAATAAAAGTTCCAAACGAGAGCGTTTCGAGGAGGCAAAAGCCTCGACAATGACCTTGAATGTGAACTTGGCCTCAAAGTCGAGGTTGTTTGAAGTCGCAAGGTCACATTCGGAAGTAAAATTTCCTGCTTTTTTCACTATAGAAATGAGAGATTTCCTTGAACGTCATGGTCAAGGTCCCCTTCGAATTATTCCCATAAAGCTCTCGACTGTGCTGTCGACATTTTTGCTAGAGCAATTTATTTTCAAGCACTTAATACGATCTTGGAATGACCTTGAAGGCAATGATCAATGTCACCTGGTCAAGGTGATGCTTGGACGTGAAATTTGCGCCACTTTTCAATTGCGATGTGAAAAAGGGGGGTGTTTCAGTTAAAAATATTCACACAACATTGAAAGATTGTGATCAAGGTCATTGACGAGATTACCATAATTTTGCCACCTAGAAACTTGTTGTTTGAAACTATTTAATTTCCCCATCTACATGTTTTAAAAACTGCGTATTTTAGAAATAAAACTTCCAGTTGAAAGTTGTAGGGTTTCGAAGGGAAAAATGCCTTGATAATGACTTTGACTACAATATTTAGCACATTTCAAGGTCAAGGGATTTTTAAATAGAACCCCTCCTTTTTCTCATCGTACAACAAAACAGGAGCAATTTTACGACGGAACATCATCTTGGTCCGCGTTCAAGGCCATTTGTGGGGATTAGCCAGAGATGACTTTGACCAAGGTTAAGTCAAAATCTCCTGAGATAGCCTCTCATTTTGTACTGGAGATAGAAAAAAAGTCAAGGTTCAGCTTAAATTTTATTTGTAGTCTCAAGGTCACATTCGGAAGTAAAATTTCTTGCTTTTTACATTTCTAGTATAAAAATGGGAGGTACCCTTTGGAAATTTTGACTTGACCTGGAAGATAATTGTCATGGTCACCTTTGAATGATTCCCACAAACTTCACAACACATTTTTGTTAAGCAAATTATTTTCCATGTCTTAATTTGACCTTGGAATGGCCTTGGAGGCGATGATCAAGGTCACATGGTCAAGGTGATGCTTGGACGTGAAATTTGCGCCACTTTTCAATGTCGATGTGAAAAAGGGG